CTACTAGGGCGGGGAGACGTCAACCCCGATAGGCCAGACAAGGGCGGCCGAACACCAATCTCGTGGGCTGCCCGGAATGGACATGAGGTAGTGGTAAAATTGTTGCTGGGACGGGGAGATGTCAACCCCAATAAGCCAGACGACAAGTACGGCCGGACACCAATCTCGTGGGCTGCCCACCGTGGACATGAGGCAGTGGTGAAGCTGTTGCTGCGACGGGAAGACGTCAACCCCGATAGGCCGGACAACGCCGGCCGAACACCAATCTTGTGGGCTGCCCAGTCTGGACATGGGCCAGTGGTGAAGCTGTTACTGGGACGGGAAGACGTCAACCCCGATAGGCCGGACAACGCCGGCCGAACACCAATCTCGTGGGCTGCCGAGTACAGATGTGAGGTGGTCGTGGAGCTACTGCAGGGACGTTAATCATCAACCCAGGCATGCTGGGCATATGGGCACGGTGGGCTCTCTCTTACGCTACCACTAGGAGGGATCCCTACCAGCAATGCCGGTTGGTCCCTGCGGATACAATACCTCCTTCCCATCTTCGAGCACTAAGCTTCCACTTCCACGGTCCCTGATATATTCCACCATTCACCGCGTTTGCCTCCTTTTCAACCTGTCTGGCATCCGATACCCCCTCGTGGACGTCACCCTTCTTCCCACCCCTTCCCTTTTGCCTTGGTGACCTAACACTCTATTTTGTGCTTGATTTGCCTCGCCTAGTCCCGCGAGACTTTGTTTTACATTCCGCTCACGGAAGCTTCTTTAGTACCTGTTGTGGTGATCTACGGTAGTCGCATGGTGGCCTTTGAATTTCTCTTTTTATCTCCAAATTTAGTATACAGTGGTTGGACGCGGGGTGTTGTACTCCCGGATTGCGGTTACGGCGAGAAGCTTGGCCTAATCTTTTATAATATCTTCCTTTGCGCCTGTTTTCTGGTCAGAATGGATTTTCTCTTCTTTGTATTTTACCTTCTCCACTATCCCTTCCTTTCTGTCTTTTTTCTGTACCACGGATATAGATGTACGCGCGTTAAATATTAGCTTACTTGGATACACGATGCCGGTAATAGGACAAAACAATTACTGCTCACCCAGTTACCATCCCCACGATGAGACGCTTTAACTTTGTGATCCTTAGCTGCGCTGCTGCGATGAATGCGCATATAAGAACATTTCATCATGTTCACGCGAACCAGTAATGATACTCGAGTGTTTTCCAAACGGAAGTGTGATTACATTTGAAAACCCTCCATTATCAAGCCGTTGGAATTTCCATATCATACCACCTGCTCATTTCCACCAATACTCGTATGATACCAACACTCCCCGAACGAAATCGATGAAGAAAACTCCTAAATCCCAGGGTCCACCTAGAGAAACGAAGTATGATATGATACTGGCATGTAGACTAATCAAGCGATGCGCCGTGCAGTCTCGCCAACCGCCTCGAGGCAATCGATCAGAAGACGGTACTTGTACCCATCGTACATGATCAGCATCAACCGCGAGGCGCGGACCGCAGCGAAGGAGAGGTCCCCCGTCGTGTTGACAAGTACCGCGCAAACAGAACTTTTCCTTTCATTCCGGGTATGGGAGGGATTTTATCACCTCCGTCACCATCTCTCTCTCCCTCCCTCTTAGCCGGCTGGGAATATATCATACAGTAGTTTTGGCTTTTCTGGAATCTTGTCTTCTTTCCTATTATACTATTGTCGGCTAACTTAGGATGAGGATGGATGGGCCCTGCCGTGTTTATATATATATAAATTTATATCGTAGCCTGCCTAAGAGCGGTGCTGCGTGGTATTATATTATATCATGTAGGATGGTATGTATTATAACTTTGTAGACGGCGCCGGTCCGGCTAGTGTTTGGATGGAAGCAGGGTTCCCGGGGGGGAATCACAATCTGTATGTTCGGTCATTACGAAAAAGGTGCAAACGGGTGACAAAAGAAACATAAACATATAGTCTAGTGACAGAAGTAGAACTTTTTCGGCACTTTATTCCCCCCCCCACTTTTGTCATTTCACGAATTCGCCTCGATATCTTCCCACACACGCACAATCTCCTTCCTCTTGACCGTCGCCGCCTCCCTATTCCTCCTCGTCCGCTCGAGCCTCTCGGCCCGCAGACACATGTTCAGGTTATGCTTGGCCCCGTTGCACATGCCCATGGCCTTCCACACGAACCCGCGAGCGTGGCATTCCTCCAGTATCCGGGTCACCTCGGCGCAACTGTCTTCACCTCGCTCGGGTCAGCTAACGGGTCTTGTCTTGTCTTGTCTTGTTTTGTTTTGTTGTTTCGCTTTCAAACATGGGGTAGGGCGAGGGAGGAGGAGGACCTTCGTTGTTGGTTCTGTTCAAGTGTGGGTGCATCGTGGTGGGAGGGAATGATGGGGATGGTTTTGGTTTTGGAAGGTTTGGCTTGTTACGAGTGATTGGAGGAGGGAGAGTGGAGAATGGCTTGGCGATAATTGGGTTGGTATTATACCGGAAGTGGTGGGGGGAAAAGTGTTGAGTCAGCAGGATCGACCAAGGCAGCTAGACTTTTCTACAGTGTGAGACGAGACAACTTGCTAACCTCCCCACCCGCCGAGTTTTTTTTCCAGTGCGCAAGCGAAGCGATGTCAACCACGATTATGGGATGAGACGATTGCTAACCTCTGACTCTCTGGGCGTTGTAGCGGGCAAGTGAACAGGATCAACCAGGGCTCCGGGACGAGATACCTGCTGACCTCCGACTCGCTGAGTGGTGTGCACGGTGGGAGGGAAGTATGATACAATACCACAACCACTTAAATTTACTTCCCCTACCGCACTCCGCGAGTCGGAGGTCTCGCCCCGCAACCGTGGTTGATCCTGTTCACTTACCCGCTACAACACTCAGCGAGCCGGAGGTCAGCAATTGCCTCGTCCCATAGCCGGATTTGGTCCTTGTTCTTCTTACTCACTGTAACGCTCGGCGGGCTGGAGATTAGCGATTGTCTCGATTGGGAGGTGGATTGGAATGATGTTTTGTCAAGTTGGATAGGGAAGGGCGCCGTGGGTGGGTGCGCGGGCGGGCTGGATTGGGGGACAGATCGGAGATTATGACATGTTTTCAAAATGGCCCTTCTTGAGCTGGCGTGCGGGGGCAGTATTTTTTAGAGGCATTGTGTCTTGGTATGGTTCGAGTTGTGCTGGAACGTCTATTGTCTTTTCTCTTTGAGCATTAAATCTCACCATGTGACTTGATTTATCCATATTTCATCCATCCATCATACCATATATATATATACCGCCCTCAACTCAATTCCCTTCCGCTAGAACCCCCACCATCTAAGCACCCATATGAGCCAAGAAGGCCGCAACAACACCCCCCCAACTCCCAGGGTTGTTTAACTGCTTAGCGATATTTGCCCCATCGACAATCAGATTCGTGAACAAATGCGTGTTAACATTATACCAATAGAGGCTCTTCGTCCCACTGACAATCTCCGCGGCATTCGCCTGACAGACACTACTCTGGCAACAGCTCGCCTCACATCCACCACTACCGCCGTACCCATGTCCACTAGCAAATGTGAGCCCGTTGAAGAAGACCCAAAAGCCGGAGCCATATATGTGGATATTTGAGCCACCGCTGATGCGCTGTGCCCACCCCATCCTGCACTGTGCGTCGTCGGCACCGCAACCGGCAAAGTTGGGGTCCGAGTATGCGCTGTTGACGGTCCATGGGGTTGGAGCGGATATGGGCGCGCCGGGGCCTTGCCAGTATGCGGTTTCAGTTTGCTGGAAGCTGATGAGGAGGTTCCGGGCATTTACGATGTTGTATTGGTAGAGTGTGTTGTGCTCGAATGCTGTGCCGATCATCCAGGTTGCTTCCATACTCCTGATTAAGGCTCCACGGCCAGTAGAAATGACCTGTGGGGGGCCGCCGTCGAGAGAGTGGTCGGCGGTCCAGCCCCACATGTTCTCAATGTACGGAGAGCCGGTGGGGGTAATGTGTAGCATGAGAAAGGTGGCTTTACAAGCACTTGCGTCGGGGCCAGCACAGTTGGTGTTGACCTTTGTGTCCACTGTTCCTCCGATACGGAAATGCGAGTTCCAGAAGCCGACGTCACCGGGGGATTCTCCGGCCATGTTGACTTCCACGAGAATTGCACCGTTGAGGACATCGGCTGTCGTGAAGACAATGTCTGTGATCTGAGCTACACCAACTTCGCCTTCGTTTCCTACCCTTACCATAACGTGGGGGTTGTTCGCATCCCAGAATTTGCTGCCAACGGCACTGATGGTCGACCAGACATCGCCCACAATCCTTGTTCCCGGGGGGACGTAAACTGTGTCGTGGACAAGATAGGTTCCCTGAGGGAAATAGATGATCTTGCATCCAGCGTTGGCAAGCAGGATTGCATTGATGGCAGCAGTGTCATCAGTCGCTCCGTCACCCTTGACGCCCTGATCCTTAACGTTGACGAATTGGTCATTTCCGTATTGCTGGTATTGCGGTTGGGGCATGAGGAAGTACTTTCCGTTCGAATCCAAGAGGGATGACGGGCGAGGAGCAGTGTAGTAGGTTCCACCCTGATAATCTCCCGGATTCGCATTTCCCATGACCCAGGTATTTGGTACACTGCCAGAAACAAGGGTCTGACCACCATTACTCTGGACGACAGTGGCACCAGAGTTGGTGCTTACAAAATTCTCAACTACCAATGATCCCGCACCGTTGCCAGTCTTGAATGCATTCACCACGATACCGACCGAGTTCGCCGAAGAATCAATGAGAGAGACGGAACCTGCGACCCCGTTCCCACTCATGTCGATACCGGTGCCGCAGTTCATGAAAGTGGCGTCTTGCACGGTAAGGAAGAATACATGGGAAATGGCGATAGCGGTGTTACAACCATTGAATTTCAGACTCTTGAACATGTATTGCTGATTGTTGAGTCTGATACCGATTCCGCCACCGGTGAAAGACTAATTAAGCAGTCAGTGATGGATCACATCCCGGCATCACGGAGGAGGACGTACTAAATCACTCAAAATGGTCCCAGATCCACCACCCGAGGACCCACCATCCATAGTGATACCAACATGCTTGGAGAAGTTCGGCATAGTGAAATCCACATTGTACAATTGCGTAGCCTGCGAAACAGGCCAGTTCAGTGCAACGGCAGGAGTGTTGGTGTTGATAGCCGTGGTATCAAGGTTGATGTTCTTAATCCCGATGAAGAAATTCGTAGTAGAAACAAGGAATCGACTTGAGTCGAAACCGTCTATAATCGGATTGGTACCAAGGTTCGCATCCGCCTTGAGCACCGGCTTGTTAAGCGGGTCCCCAATCATCATGGTGCCGACAAGCATCCTGACGCTCTTTGAGATCTTGTAAGTGCCAGCCGGAACGTAGATAAGAGCCGGCGCAGTCGTCTGCTGGTAATTGCTGGAGCGGCTCCAAGCTATCACAGACATGAGCTTTCATTGATCCCTGTTTTACAGGAGGAGGAACCCAGAGTTTTACCATCGATAGCAAATTGAAATGCACCAGAGTCATCAGTGACTCCGTCACCCTTTTGCTCCATAAGTCCTCACGTTTCTGTAGACCTGATATGTGGGATCCGGATTGAATGGCGATGCGCCATTGAGGTTTACCGTCTCTCGCCAGAACTTTGTTGGGTTGTTGGGAGTGAGGGTACAAGCAGCTTGAACAGAAAACCAGTTGGCCGCAGTATTGGCGGTAGTGTTCGTATCCAAGGCTGGGAAAGGAGAGTTCTCCCCAGTGGTGTCTGTTCTCTCGGGATATGGCACAACTCTGTGAACGGGTTTTAGCTCAGCATCATCCCAGGAAGAGGTTCACAATTAGAATATAGGATTAAAAAACTCACGGGGGTTCTTTCGGGGCGTAATTGAACAAATCACGGAATTCCGCCGTTCCGTTCAAGATAGGTTTGACATCTGAGGCGGGTGCGGGCTCAAGGTACTGTGCAGAAACGGTTCCCAAGATGACGGCGGAGGAGAAAAGACCCCTCATAGTTGGTGAAGGGTGGGGGGAGAGAAAAATCAAGAGGTAGAATCACTGCAGTCAAGAACCGCGGGTGAGGAATTTCATGGCGACTGAAACGGCGAGCTCAAATAGAGCAACTCCCTCAAATCCCAGAACCTTTCGATATCTGCATGGCTCTACAGATGAAGCATCCAAGGCACTCTTGTTCCCATGCTCACTATTCGGCGGTGTACTGTACTGTACTGTACAGGTGCTCCAGCCCAACTGCACCCTGCACCCTGCAACAAGACGGCTTCCACCGCCTAGCAGCCCCTCCGGTTATTACGGCAGGCCCAACCAAGTATCTAGGCGCCCGTAGTAATCCCACCTGTCGAGCGAGTGTGTTGAGGCATAATCAGTGCGGGCTGTGCATAAGCAAAGAGCAATGGGAGTGTTGCTTGTCTCCGCCACTCCTGGAACCTAGGGTATCGCACTAATTATCATGCATACCTAAAGTGTGACGAAACCAAGCAATCCGTGAAGGGTCGCAGTGAATCCAAACCCATGAAGAATACCCCGCTAATCCGGTTCAGGTTCCATACAATGTCCGTCGACATTCTTTCATTAAACACCACCCGGCGCTAAGGGCCAAAAATTATAGATTAGTGAGTCCATGCTGGGCGCCAATCCATGTACTGTACGGCACTGTGCTCGAGTACTCGTACAGCCTGCGAAATCTCGTGGTAGCCCATGGGGCAATCGGTGACCTTGAGTTGATCTGGCCATAAGCTTGTCTCCTGGGCAAATGGCATGCAATGCCAGCGGGGAGACCTTTTCCCGCCAGGGACGCCTTCCAGGAAATTTTGAACCATCAGTATGATAAAACGTGCGGTACAGTACACATCAGGGTCCGCACACCGGTAGTACCGGACACCAATACTTATTAGCGCACTCCCGAAAGAGCATCCGGTTCCGTAGCACCCATACACCAGAACAGTTCATTTTGCAGCAAATATGTAAAAGTGCCCAACATCACAACTTCCATCTCAAAACCCAGCATTGGTAAGCTCATATACCTACTCCCCCTGGAAGAAAAAAAAAAAATGCGAAACTTCAACTATGACAGGCTTTTCGATAACCCACAACTGCCAACCTTCCGCAGGCACCGTGGGTACGGTAAGTTAGTCAGACGGCTTTAAGCAACGATCCCAACCCAATAACCACCTATCATACAATGCGGTACACCACAAAGGTCAAAAAGAAAGGATTCCCGATAGTGAAATCTGACCAGGTCCCTGCGATTGGCCCGTTCTACAGCACAGCACAGCGCATATAATTGCCATGGGGGATCCAACTCCCAACTTCAGGGTCTCACATCCTCTTTACCCTCACCCTGTCCAATTTGAGAAATTCGGCAAACCGATGGGGCGTTGCGCCCAGTGCTAGTACTTGTAATTATTAACTAACAGCACCCAGTACGGTACTCCGACAATGCTCGCATCCATTGCACGAACAACGGGGTTCCGAAATTGCGGTATTATGCAAGCATTCACGGCCCGCCTCTGCTCGTGATCCTGCGGATGGTCCGTGACGGTACCGTATCATACTCAGGGAACGGCAAGAACAGCCAGGTCCATTCAGTACCGCACATGGGTAACACCGAGGACAGCGCTTACTATAGTGAATCAAATATAATCCCGGAAAGACCAACCTCTCGAACCCGATGCTGAGGGCGGCACGGGTTTCTTGCGTCTCCGATTTGGCGAATGAGTTAGGCTACTTGCAGGAATACTTATCGAGAGAGAGAAAAAAAATCTAATTTCCCCACGGCTAATAGAGGGGATGGGATATATGATACTATGATAATATTATTATTATAATATTATTATACCGGCAGCCCGAGTCAAGCGCAATACGGTAAGAAGAAATAATCACAACCTCTCACTCGTTCTACTGAGTCTACCTATGTCCCTGTACTCCCCTTGCTAGCCAATCTAAATAAAATCCCAAATATTATCCCAACGTAGCTAGAGAGGGAGAGGGAGTGGGAGAGAAGATAAATCCCCAATCAACCAAATAAATATCATACCTTCCCTTCCTCATCAACCCGCAGGCTTGGGGCTTCCCGAGACGCATCGTCCCCCAGCCTCCCTTCGCTAAAATGTTGACCCAACCACGTGCTATTGAGCCCCGGGAAGGAGTTATATTCTGGCGATGTGGAAACCGCGTGCTATGGTGTGGGCGGGGGTGGCAGCTAGCAAGATGCAGCACGAGGGGGGGGGAGGAAAGGAGGAAGCAAGGTGACAAACAATGGATGTCATTTGTTGTGACACTGGTTTCCCTTTCTTTCCGCTTTCATCACCCGGGAAGCAAAAGGTCCATCTCGCGGTACACCCACCCCCACTCCTGCGTTGGTTCGACTGCCGAAATACACCCGAGCATATGTCCCCAGCCATCCTTGGTTCGATGGCCATGGGGGGTCGGGGGAATTCCCCCGTGCTCTCAGCCAAACCAGGGCGGTGGGAGGCTCTAGGCCGGGAGTTTTCTACTACCATTTGATTGCGCCTAGGATGGGTGATAGGTGGTGAAGCGTGGTAACATTTCCCGTAACAGTTGGCTCAACCAGTGGGGAGCACAAAAACATCAGAAGTCGCTAAAAACTAGCTCTCTGTACAACGGGGAAAGACTTGAACTCCTGCAATCCCTCACGAGCATAGCAAAATCACAAGTCATCGGTAATTCACAATCTACAGAAAGGTGCAACAGCGGCAAGAATAGCAGCTCTCTACTGTTCTATCTAATTTGCGGAGCTTGCCCATAGGCACCGCGGTGAAAATGATATATAAAATGCACATTAGTTCCACCACGCCCGGACAGCCATCCTCACAAATTTGTCAAGTAGTCCTCGATCTCTTGAGGGCTCAGTTTCCTGAATCTAGGACCCTGAGCATTGGCAACCCCTTCGTAGCCCAGCAGATGGTCCGCTGGGGGCCCAACAATCCCGATCTCGACAGTGTCCCCAGACATCTCACCCTCGATCTGCACCGAGCCGAATCATATCAGATAACTGCTCACAAAAAGTGCTACACAGCAGGTAGCAGAAAAAAAACTTACAGTCTCCTTTAGGGTCAGCAAAGCGATATGGATAGCATCTTCCAGCTCTAATCCCTCCGCATACCGCTTCTCGAGGAAGGTTTTCGCAGAAGTAGCACTCTTTCCAATGGCAGTCGCCTTCCACGGGAAATAAGAGCCAGATGGATCGACCTGGTGAGAAAATTCCCCATCTTAGCTTCTCCCCACACAAACTCGAGTCATTAATTTTACCATACCTGGTACAGCGCTGGGCCACCCTTTCCAGTACCCGCTGGCTTATCATCCCACCCGGCCACGAGCAAACTAACACCGAAGGGCCTCACACCGCCACTCTGGGTAGCCTCCTGCATAACCTTGGCAACGTCCTGGACCAGTATTCTTGTAGGGGGGTATTCGTTGTAGATTCTCTTGTAGTCACTGTGAGAGACCTTTCTAGCCTTATCCGTGAGGACTCTGTAGTCCGGTCCCATACCCGAGTAAATCATCCCGATGTTGGGTGTTATGCACGATATCTTCTCAAGGGAAGATGAGTTCATGAGGGGCGTCGAAGACTTCTTTTCGGTTGCAAGAACAACACCATTGGTAGCTGTTTGGTGGAAATAGCTGATCAGACAATAACCGATAAACAAAATATAAAGAGTGCTGGAAATAGCATTAGATGTACCTTTGATTCCGAGACTCGTTACTCCCTGGTTAACTGCGTTGAGTGCATATTCTAGATAAACCCCGCCGAATTAGCTCCCTGAGCTGACCCCACCACCCTCTGCCCCACATCCATCTTGAAATCTCCTCGCCATTCCCAAAATCCATCATCAACCTCCCGACTGTATCGAACCACAGTCTAAACCAGAGGGATTTGGTCGAGGCTTACCGATCTGAACGAGTTTTCCGCTACACGCATTCACTTGTCAGCAAGGCGCGCAGAGCCTCCAAGTATAGTGGGGCTCTATACCTCGGGGAGAATGTAGTGAGGGAGAACGAATATCTATCGGCCATGGTTAATGTATATCGGGTATATCAAGTACAGGCCGGTAAGGATAAAATCGAGAGAGATGAATATGGATGGAGGTGATTACGGAGCTCTCGTGGAGTCGGGTGTAGCTTACGAAGCGTGCCGAGTAGGGTCAACAATTGAATTCCCCCACTAAGGGGTTACCCTGTCAAACATAGTTATCACTCGCCTTCTTGACCGTGTCATCCACAAAGAAAGCAGAGAAAACGCGACAAAACCCCCCCCACTGGATTCCTCTTTGAATTACCGGTATGGGCTCACAATTTCCTTGATATCGTACCTATCGTTAACCAAACTCATTATCTCTAGCACCAGTCGTACAGCACCACCTAAAATCAGACATCCCCTACTCCCCTAATTTGCACCGGACAAACTTGCCGCAGCTTAATGTAGAACATCCCAAACCTTTATCCAAATTCCAACCAACAAATACCTCCTAAGCCGCCGCCCATCCCGCCCAGGACCTCATCAGCGATCGTACCACACCAACGAAATTCCCATCTCGGCTCCAATGGTCTTTAAAAATGCTGCCACGCCTTCCGCCAGTAGTGCTCCCGACCCTTTCTCATTCCTTGTAAACTTGCACACCTGAAAAATCTCTTCCAGCTCACTCTCCAACCCCTCAAAATTTCCATACGGACAAGTATCCAACTCAGCCCCCCCCTCATAAGCAAGTACCAAAACAGAGTACCTATAGAATGCTCTATCGACTCGGAAAATCTCATCTCTACTCAATTGACTGGAAGAAAAATCGATGGCCAAATCGCGACCATAACGTTCCTTGTGCTCCAGACAGTTGCCGACAAAGTCTCTGCGCCAGAGGTTGATACAGTCCTGGTTCCGGTGCAGTTGGGTCATTTCGGAGACTCCGATACCAGAACCTCCGTCTATAATCCCACGAAGGCCAGCTCCAAGCGTCGGTGCCAGGTTTTCTCTTCCCAGGGAAGTTTGTTTCTTGAGGAGCATTAGTGCATCGTCGAATAGCGCCCCAAAATTATTTCTGCAAACGGCCTCGCATATTTCGAATTTGTGAGATTTCCAGACTGTATAGCTTTCCTTGTTCCTACCAACCATTCTGCAAAGGGAACAATAATCTGAAAGGGCTTTCATCTGGGACAGTATGTGCGCTGAGTCCATGGGTTTAGTTTGAGTTTGAGTTGTAGCAGTTAACTGTGGTAATGAGGATAAGTGTAAGTACTGCTGACTTATAAATTAGCTATCAGCTAGGTATTTTGAAAGACACTGAATTGTCTTGCACTTTCAGGACTGAATCAGCCAGAGATTGGAATTGCAAGACCTTGTGTCTCAATTAACCTCACTTGAAAGTTAGATACACGCGAACAACAGATAATAAGAGAGGCCATAGTCCCTCATCACCAGAAACCGAACTTCCTATGACCTCTCCCTGGTTAAGATCTAAGCTATGCGTACTCCTCTGGAAAGACAAGGGACACAATCGCAGATCTAACAAACGGGAGTTGCGCTGCAGCCAAACAGCGACTCGAAAAACCAAGTCCAACTAACGCGTCCCCACCATAGAACACCAGACAAAACCACCCGAATTCGGCCCAAAAAGGCCAACCCTAACATACCGTGTCACTAGGAACACTTCCTACACCTCTGGATCTGCCCTTCCAACCGCCGGGCACCAATTGAGGCCCCCGAGATCTCCTCCTTCTTGGTGCGTTTCACTTTACTTGATTCGCCTCCCTCCCCCCTTTGATCCATCTCCTAGTCTGATACCTTAAGGCTTTGTTACGCTCAAGCCGGAAGCTGTCCCCTAGCAAAAAAATCTAATTGCAATTATCCAAACCTCTATTTACAGCACAATACCCCTTCCCTAGTGGGGGAATATCTGCTCCTCAGCCCACAGTCGGGATATCAGGAGCCTCTTGCTTCCTTGTAGAGTTCATGAGCGAACGGTATCATACTGGCATGAATAACAAGAGGCTTGTATCTTAGGACGCTGAAACCTCCTTTCCCTGTAACATGTTGTCTCGTCTTGCTAAAGTTTTTCGGGACCACCGCCAGAATATAAAACCTGGACTTTTTGAGACAGCTCCCTTCCGCCAAGTCCATCAAGCAACCTAGCATAGTATCGTATGATACTCGTTAAGTAGACTAGGCTTGTGATTAGAGGGATGGAGGCAAAAGGATCACGGTTTGAGGTGACAATCTAAGCCGCCCATAAACAAGACCATATCTCCCAATAGTTGACCCAGGAACTTCGCATGCTCACCCAATCTCGAAGAATCGCGGTAGGTCCGAGCTACGATACGTGCTCAGTTGGCGAAAGCATGATAAGCAAAGAAAGGCCCACTACAGTAGAATATTGTAGTGGCCCACCTAACCCTACGCGAGAAGCGCTCGCACCAAATAGTATAATACCCCAAGAAACATTTATTAGCTAGACCAGCTACCGTACGGTACAAATACTCGAGTAGCCAAAAGGCACAGCCAATCATAACACAATTTAACTTAAAGGTTGACTGCCAAGCGCCAAGTCCCAGCCCCCAGAACCCTAACCCGGGCTCCACGACTATCAGTGCTAAACTTTCTTTTTTCTTTCTCACCAGCCACTCCATCCTCCCCACTTTCATCCATCATACCTGAGCCCACCTCCAGGACACCTTTCCCTCATCACCACAACTATGATCCAATTACCACAACTACATCCCTCGCCCACCTGTAAGTTACCATTCCACCCCCATCTCCAAACACCCCTCCTGCCCACATCCAATGCCATCCCACCCGATAAAAAAAAAAAAAAGGAAAAGCAACTACATGATGAGCAGTTTTATACTCCCAAGCAAAAATAGGAAGAGCCGTATGAGTCCTCTTCACAGAATAACGCTCTCGAGTACCCCATTTGCGGGGAAAGGATGGCGGTGCTGAGGACTGTGCTTAGGCCATTGGGTTCTGATGTTTATCCCCTTCTTCAATTATTCATGCTCCTCTGTGTTCTTGAAACACTTGCATTATGGGGAAACCGAGGGCTGACTTAAGTTTGGGATTAGAAACTTCCGAGATCTGTTTTGTCTCGCTACTAGTGCTATACCACATGTGCTATATATGCGGCTCCACTGGATTTGCGTAGGTGGAAGGTTTGATAGAATGCGAGACGCATTGCGTGTCCACGTGGCTCGCACGGCGAACTTCCCGCTCTGGTCTCGATACCTGATCGATGACGCTAAGGTATCGTAGCACTCGGCACGATTCATGGCCCGCTGTTGCGCCAACGCAATTTTCGGATCATTACAACGGCTTTCCAACTCGATGGGTGGTGGAAATAGCAAGACACAAAAGGATTCGGATATCGAAGCACGGTGCGCCGGAACAGTGCGCCACGGTAGCAGTCAAGGTTTCAGGTCCCCCAACCCGGTGGGCCAGGCAAGCCTCGCTGAGGTGGGCCATACCGCCCTCACTAACACCAGAAACTCACCCTCCTCCCTGGGAAGCTAAAAATATCATCACTTACAAGCCACACCGTGTCCTTTAAAAGACCCGGATGATTGGCGATCAATCCTATTACCGCCCCTACGCTTTGGCCTTACCGTGCAGTACGGTACTCCACATGTCCCAGTCGCACTCAAACACCTACCCTGCGGCATATACGATCTGTGTCTATTTTTCCCGCAACGCTCACAAACCACGCTGATGGCTGGAGAACAGAAATAGAAATATGTATAAAATAATAACTTGTATTCCTAATCTAATGCAATTCGCAACCGAGAGCCGAACCAGCAACAGACAGAAATGAGCGTATTCAGATGAAATGCAAAGGAAACGTAGCAAAGTTTAACAATAACATCATTCCCAAACGCCCAACATTTTTCATTCCCCCACGCCCGACGGCGGCCGACCTTTCTCACTCACCCCCCGATTCGCCCACCCAATACTTGTAAACCATCCTCCACAATTACACTACCGGTACTAAAACCCACCCCACTGCCGCCGCCACAGTAAACCGCATCCGCAAGCCGTAAAGCCCCAACGAAAAAGAAGAAGACCGAAAAAAAAACCCCCCGCCCCCAAAGAGAATTCCCGAAAAAGAAAAAGAAAACCAAACATTACAAAGAACGACTTCAATCTGGAAAAACACTGGCTAGAGAAAGACTACAAAAAAGGTTTGACCTATTCAGCATAAGCCACATATCATGGTTCCTACAAGGTCTTGAAAAAAATTTATTTCTCCCCCCCCACCCATCAAGATGCATAGATAGACAAGACAGAGATAAGAAAATATGAGGCAAGTTTTGGTTATAGAATGGACGAGAAGAGAAAGGGAAAGCAGAAAGTAGAAAGTAAAAGAGAGCCCAGATATGCTACCAATGAGACAAGAAACGAAACGAGAGCGAATAATAAAAAAAGAAAAATAGGAGCAAGCTTTTTTTTCCGTTGTTCCCCCATCCCTCCTTCGATCCCCCTCCTCCATAACTCCCTTTTTATCACACGATTGCAAAAAGAGTGAAAAGAGCCTGGCAAATAATGCTGTTCGCTCGTAGCAAAGCTTCAGAGTCCAAAAGATATTAGGGAAACAAAAAAGAAAACACCCCGACAAGAGAAGGGAAAATAAAGAGAAAAGGAAACAAAAAAGCCATTAACAGCCCAATTACCAACTACCTTGCGAATCCGCCTTGGCCAGGCTGCTGCTGACCATATTGTGGTTGCCCGTACGGTTGACGACCGTAATACTGTTGTTGTTGATACTGTTGTGATTGTTGCGACTGCTGGGAGTATCCATATCCTGCCTGTTGTTGCTGTTGGAGGGGGAAGTGGGGCGCCCCACCGTATTGTGTAAATCCGGGACTCTGGCTTCCCATACCTCTGGGAGAAGGTGTAGCTTGTGAACGCTGGCCAGACTGCTGTTGTTGCTGCTGTTTCTGCTGCTGCCTCTGAGCAATGGCTTGCTGGACAGTAGCACTATTGGAACTACCACCATGCATCCACGATTCCTTCATTTTGCGCTTCTCTAGTTCTCTAGCCTCGATGGCCCCCAGAAGCCCCGCTCGGTGAGGCGGCTGCTTGTGTTTCGCGTTATCAAGATATAACAATGTTGAGCCCGTTTGCTTTGCAACATATTCCTGCTCTCGCGCAGAGAGATGGTTTGATATATCCACAGTGCCAGGAACCAATCCATTCTGAGCAAATACCGCCTCCCCGCCACGAGAAGCAGGTCGAGGAAGGTGTTCAGCAGAAGGATTGCGGCCACTTGTTGGTGAAGTACTCGAAGATTTCCGCTGATGGGCATATCTGCTTCTAGACTGTTGTTGGGCGGCAGCGGCTGCTGCTTTTTCGGCAACATATTGCTCTGCACTCTCCTTCCCGCCTGGGCTTCGCCCACTCCCAATTTGAGCCATTCCGGGCTGCCATACTATGCTCTTGCGCTTCGACTCTCCACTCTCTGATCCGTGCGACCCGGCCCTCTCGTGCCCAGAATCGGGGGACGGCCGATTCCAAGACTCTCGCCTCTCATCACTACCGCCCGAAGATCTTGAAGATGCACGATTCTGGCCCCAAAGGTCTCCGCTAAGGCCCATTGACTGACGTCTAGGATCACCACCTATTAAGGTCCCATGGAGTGAATGGGGGCCTAGCTCATCCTGATCTATAATCTGCGCATTCCCCCTGCTAACACCCCTAGATTCGGCGGAGAGAGTACGGCCGTGGTTGATTGTCGTTCCAAAGTCAACCCTTGGTATCTCGGGGGAATCCCGAACCTGGCCAGAGGTGCTAGGGCGGTAACGGGCATCTCCAACCACAACCTCCGGCTCCGATGCCCCCCCAACTACCTTCATGACTCCAGCCCTTGGCATGTCAGCGTCACGCTTTGGTGGCTCCTCGCGTGTAGTGTGAACACTAGAATAATCCGGTTCATCGTCATCATCTTCATATTCACTTCCGCTATCAGTAAGCATTCGCTGCATGCGCTGGGCCCGTTTTCGGTCAAGGGTATCTTCTTCGCCCGCCCCATGGTCCGTTCCAATCTTACTCAAAGCTTCGTCACTTATCATGTGCTGCGCAAGACTCGCTATATCTGCGCTAGTGGGGGAATCGTCGGCAGCTGCGGAAAGATTCTCCAGTGCGGGTTTCCTGCTGACGTCCGTCCGGATGCCTGGGACTGCTGGATGATTAATGTTTCTGAACGGAACTTTTGCAGGGATTGGTGGCGATGGCAGGGGATCCGAACCTGCCGTGACTTCACGCCCACTGGTAAGTTGAACAGGTGTCGGCACATCTGTGTCTTGCCACGAAAATCTTGGAGGCTTAGCCCCCTCCATTCTAAGGCTTTCAACCCTATTGAGAGGAGGAGCCTTTGTGGACTGTACAGGCTCGGTCGGGTGTCGATGAACGGGTGGTGGTGGTGGCCTGTTAGCATAGCCTTCCTCATAGGCTTCCTTTCTGTCATTGGTTGGTGGTGGACCAGCAAGCAAAACCTGTGAATACACTGGAGCAAATCCTGGGGGAGGCTCGATTGGAGATTGGTATGGAAGGTAACTCTGGGCTGTGATTTGGGACTGCTGACTGGGCAAAAGAGAGGGTGGGGGTGGGGGAGGAGGATACATTTCGGTTATTTGTTCCAATGTTGGAGCAGATCCATTCAACATCAAGGGTGGAGGGAATGTCGGTGGTGGAGGAGTGAGGTTTGCTCCAGTAGTATTGTTAATCCTTTGAGGCATCCCATCAAACAAGTTACTCTCGTTGGACCGTCTGGGTAGATCCTGATCTTGATGAACGCCCAATCCTATCGGTAGGCCATGTGATGGCGTTTGCGACCTCATTTGTGGTAACATGTGTGGGGGTTTTGAGCTTGGGGGATGCATCATTACGGGGGTCGCCGGTACTAGGTCTGGCGACGGCTGGCTGGTCTGCTGTTGAAGACGACGAGCAGCAGGATCAATAGCACCCTGAAATAAACCATCATCGGAGGAGGAATCACTTCTCCCAGTAGGTAGTGCTTGGCCATAGGCTTCCTGTCTCTCAGCCATGGAGCCCAAAGACGGGGCATCCCGCTGCTGCCTCTGGTATTCCAAATAACCTGTGGATTCGGAGGTAGAGCGTTGGTGATAAACTGGGGACGACAAGGGAGGAGTACCCATAGGGACATGCTGGGGAGGAATCTGCGATGCAGGTACGGGCAAGGAAGACAACGACCTTGAAGAGTCATCCTGGAATGTTACACCCGGGAATCTCTGTCCAGCCGGAAGACTAGTTCTTGGTCTCGCACGAGCCGTTCCACTCTTTATCTTCGCCGCCGTCAACTCCTTCAACTTCAGTCTCCACTCTGATTCCGAAGCGATTGATCCACCTTCGGTCACGATCAATCCCACAATATCCTCCACCTGCAAATATCCGTACTGTCGTTCCCTTGGCATAGCAAACATCAGCCCCTTGGGATCGTCAACACCCGCAATAAGTCTCCCCGGGCGCCCATAGAGGGTAAACACGTCGAACGTGGGAAAGAGCCAGCGGAGCATTATCTCGAACCCACTGACAGCCGGGTGGGATTCGGGCATTACAAAGACGAACCCCTCACTAGTTGTCGGATGATCAGAATTTATAGTAATTTTTCCCTCAATCTTAACCAAAGTGGACTGCTCAATGAGCGGTTTTGACTGAGGGTAAATTGCATAGGCCGAGAAAGCGTCCGTAATCGTTGCTATTGGTTGTGATTTCTTGCTCTTCTTGTTCTCGTAAAACTTTATATCACCTTTGAGAAACGGAACAACATTGTAAGTAGACTTGTTTGCCTTTTTCAGGGCCGCTTTTTGCTTCTTGACGGCCTTCTCATCCGGCGGTGTTATAACAGCCCAGCATCTCCTCCAAGGGGTCCCCGCTCCGAACCGAACCCGGGCCCAATCCTCATACTTGAACCTGGCCCTCTCCATTATCGTAGTAATACTATTTAATGTCTTGCCCTTTCCCGCGATCAAGGCTCCGGTGTAAGCTTCCTGTAGGCAGGAATGCTCAAACATGCACAGCCTAATCCCAGCCGTCCACTGTGTAAGGGAGTGGTGTGAGTTGAAATGGAAGAGGTATCGATTTCGACCAGCCGTAGAAATACTGAGGACGTTTGTGAGGGGAGGCACATCCGGCAACCTTGTCGGCAAAGTGTCAATCTATTAGGCGGAAGACGGCCGGATCAGCAACAGCCCACGACTAAAGGGATCAGGGGGATCAGGGAATCAATAGCTACCATCTTGATTGAAGCATCGGTAAGATTGAGGTATGTCGGCACAACTTCGCCATCATGACCTGCGGCGTCGAGCTGAGCGGCGTCCCACAGCGAAAGTACAGTTCCCACAAGTTGAGCAAAACACTCAACCCACGACCTGTCCTGGCTCGGTTTACCATCTAATCAAGGGTCAGGAAGAATCAGCACACAAGTTTCCTCCATTTATTCCACAAAAACGACAAACAGCGAGACGCCTATGTACCTGGATTCAGATCATTCAACTTCAAAAAATACCCCTCGGTATAAATCTTTTTGGAATGACTGTTCAAGAAGGTGAACACGGGCTGCAGTTCGGGTAACGTGTCTCGCTCAACTTCGAGAAGCGGCGGTTGGTAGGGCTGAACGATACTCATCGGCCTGGAGCCTGGCCTCGAACTTCTTGAGGGCGGTGGTTGTGGAGATTCCCGAGATGGACTCGCGATGTGGGCTTCGGATATAGAGGTAAAGGTGTCACGTCTTATCTTTGCACCCTCTTTCTCGGTCGGTGATTTCGACGAGAGGAGGCTTCCGAAGGACGCGGACCAAGCTGTGATTGTACGGCGGCTATTGTTAGCAAGACCATTTTTGGATCCCGTTGCTGGGGGCTTCTCGAGCGGCTTACACCGGGTGCGAGCCATCTTGAACTCTACTACAAAGGCGTTTGCAGGAAAAACAACAAAGATATATATTCACACAGACACGCACGCACACACACGCACACACGCACACACGTCCTCACACACTCCCGCCCAAACCGATCCGTAGGCACAAACAATTTACTCTTCTCAGAGAAGTCGAAGGTGAGTGCACCGTAAAGGGTTCCGAGTGAGGAGCAAGTTGGAATGAGGACACCAGTCTTCGGCGGTAGCGAGAGGAATGTGGGGTACCGGCAATTATGGGTGAAGGGCACAGAAACACGTAAAGAAAAACAAAGCAGAGAAAAGTATGAAGGACGAGGGGGAGGAAACGAAGGGTAATGTAAGGCCGAGCGAGAGAGGTAAGGTAGAGATTAGAATGGTGAAACGAGGAAAGAGAAAAGGGAAGTAGGGGAAGAAGGTGAAGAAAGAAGACGAGGAGCAAAGCGAGAGAGCAAACGAAGGGTTCCCCTACTCAAGCGAGTGGTGGTTGGGGAGTGGCTTGATGATGATGAAACGAACAGGTAGGAGCAGGATGGATGGCGATGATCACTCGGATCGTTGGGCCCGGAAGCAAGTGAACGGGTTGGTGTTTCTTTTTCTCCCTTTTTCTTTTTTCCTTTTTCCCTTTTTTTACCCTTTCTATTTTTCCTCCCCTACTGGGCCAGTCCATTTCCTTCTATGTACGAGTACTGGGAGGGCTTGAGGATAGGTATGACAGAGGGGAGTTTTCCACGTATTGAGCCGTAGAATGCCGAGTGCACAGTTCCCAGCTACGAGAGCACGATACGAGCACCCACGATACTAATCCTGCTATACAAGTGGTGTACGGGAAGGGTACCATACCGGTGCCCGTCGATGCAAAACTTTGTCTAACTTACTCGTACACCGCCTGGGGTAACCTAACAAGCATTCCCGCAAGCTTCCACACGAGTAGAGTCACCCCAGCTGCCCTTTTTAAACTTGGCTTTCCCCTCCTTTCTTACAGGTACTCTAACCTGAGATCATATCCTATCTTGTCAAGTCACTCCACACCACATATTATGGTATTGTCACCTCTCCTTCCCGCTCACTGCACCAGTGGGGGTCAACAAGTGTGGTGCCGGTGTCATACTGCTAGTACACTTACACCGGTACGCCTTCTTCTCCAAGCATATCAGTCCCCACACTCTACCCTCAATTCCAGTCCTACTAAGCCGATACGTTAGACAGCAAGAACCTGTGTGAAATATCTCCCCTCACTGCTCTAATGCCCTAATCTGCCAAAACTCCACAAACACCAAGGGTGCCTGCCCCCCCCCCCTCCTCGCATTAATATTAACCCCTGGATCGTATCTAAGGAAGCTGAAAGAGCCATCCAATCTACATTAACCATCCACAATTGTCCAAACCGGACCCCGTTCTCCACGCCAGAACAACGTTTGATGCGGGTCGTTCCAGGTTCTATTTCTAGCACCTCTTTCTCCCGCCTACGCTTTCCCGAGACAAGCTATGTCATAATTAATCCCCGCGAAAATCTCCGGCCACACCTTTCCAGCCACTTTCACAGTACGCTACCGATTGGAGGGAAAAAATGAAACGAAACGGGGAAAGCTCTCATTCTTTCCTCCTCATTTCTAGCCTAATTCAACGGGATGGCCAGCTCATGATATGATGGGTTGCCTACCAAAGTGATCAGGCATGGGTGAAGAAATGTGTGATGAGAAATTCTCTTGATTTGTAAAAATTAATGGAAAAAAAGAAAAGACAGCTTTTTTTTTTTAAACGAGGTCCTTGGAACGGATAGGGAGTGAGTAACGTATCATACCGGTACAGTACCGGTACTTGCGCACATCCGCGTGCTGGGAGGGAAGAAAGACTACAGTCTTGCCTCCCGGTCCGCTCGCTTCCGAGATCTCACTTTTCCCCCCTCAAAGCGGGTAAGTTAACACCCATAACCTGGCGTCCAACCGTCATCGCCAGAGGGAGCACGCTGTCCCAGCCGGATATATGGCTTCAACAGTACGAAATCAATCCATCAAAACTAATCCCAGTCGAGTGCACACAGGGAGGATCCCGGAATCTTGGGGGAGCAAGCCATCAGCATCTAGAACACGTCGTCCACAAGTTTAAATCAGCCTGGGGGCTTAACATCATCCAACATCCAACCTTTAACAAGCAAAGCTGGTGTTTGGTTATCTAGGCTTCGTTAAGAGCACAAGTATCCCCAGTTGTTTTTGCCAGTGCATATTAACATACTGTACGAGTAGTAATACAGTACAGCCTAAATATAGTTCTCCCGAGAGGCCAGCACAAGTTCCAACACTAGCAACTATTTCGCTGCTCTACAAGAATTGGAGGCCGGTACTGTGCGGCACTCTCCTCCAGCTCTGGCAACAGGCTAGGGAAATGCCCGTCTGACCCCGGCTCTGCTGGAGTAGCTTACGACACCTCAGCTTGACCAAACTCATGAAGTGGGACCCGCCAACCTCTCATATCCGACTCTACTAGAAAGTCTCCTGAGCGCAGCTAATATGGGTTCCCCCTGCTGCGGTGGAACAGAGCAAACATCCTATTTCGGCATCGGGGCTTACTGTTTTCGATGACCGACCTCTGGGCGGACTCGCTCCGAGCCAGTTAGGTGGGCTTGACTGAGCTGGACTGCTGTACTGTTCCGGCACGGCCACCCCCAATATCTGGGCTATTAATTGATTGATTGGGTTGGAGTGCAGATGGAATTGCACTTTTGATCCGGGGTTGTGGGTAGTGAACAAAGAGTGGGGCAGGGCAGCCATAACCTAAATAAAATACTCGGTACTGTGCCGGTGCTCGAGTATGATCTCTTGGAAATCGCTTTCAGAATATCAACGGAAACCTCCACCAGCTCACTTTAGGCTTGGTTGAACAGGTCAACATAATTGCGAATGCTGCCGTAACTCAGGAAATTTGAAGGGGGGGGGGTGAATTTATACGCCCCCAAAGTGGATTTTGAGCAGAGAACCCGAACCGAGCTTTTTAAACTAGTTATCAATTAGAGCCTCTCAGCTAGGATCAACCTGCGCCGGCCAATTTTCTAGAGTGGTTACCCGCTCACGATCTAAGGATTCCTGCACCCATTGTTGGTGGGTTCTAGCACCGCCAGAGAGGACTTGATGCTATATCGCACTAGGAAAGCACAAATAATTCTCAGGGGGCTTTTTTATACACCTGGGAATAGCTAATTACGGCCGTGCCCCATTGTCAGATGCCCTCAAGGTTTTGCCAAGGGCACTGTACAAGCATGATCCATAGAAATACACCTCACCGTTCCGGAATTCGGGTGTTTTCAGATTGGGTGGAGGTTTAGGAACCTCTGGCCCCTGCTTGCACGGGGGATATATTTGGTGTCCTTGATTTCACCCTATTCTAGCCTAAAGCCCAACACCGCGGCTCTTGAAAGCCATGGTCAATACTGTGACTTGGAATGGTGCATCGTGCCAGGAAGATAGAATATATGCCCCCACTCTGCAAGTACCTGCCACACTGCCCACCGCTAGCAGAATCCCCGATATATAATATACTACCTCCAGATCCCAGTTGACTCTAACGAGTGGATGCTTCGGGGGGGACTGGCCCAAAAATTTTGGATCAGCTTTGCTGGTGGTACCGGTATCACGAGGACTCGGTGGCCAGAAACGAGAATAAGTTAGCGGTATGATAGTACGAGTACGCCGAGCGCCATTGGACAATTTATTGAATTTTCGGCTTATTCATGTCATTCAACTACTGCTCTACAAGTACTTGTACTCGAGCACAGCACTCGTACTTGTACCCCTCATTTAGACCTTATATGGAGTGGTCTCTAGTCACGATTGCTCAACTACCACCCGACCTTCCAATCCCTCCTCCGGCGAAGATTTCGTCCACCATTCCACTCCCCCAGATGTTTTCTTGTCCCGGGATTTTAACCAACCGGGACAACGGGGGGACTTTTACGACACTGCGTACCGTACGTCAAGCACCAGTTTTTATGGTACCGGTACGACACGGTGCCGTCCCGCAACCTATTCCCCCCCCCTTTTTTTTTTTGCAACTGTAAACCCGACACGATGCCTCCGCTCACCGTAAGGAGCACTCAGCAGCTGCAGCCTGCAGTACCGTATGTAATTCTCACGTTGATACTTGTACTTGTACTTGTGAGCCGCTGACTGTTTTTCACCGTTTTGGAAATGACCCGCAGCGCGTTTGTGTACTCGAGTACCGTACTGCGTTCGTGCTGCACGGTACAGTGCGGCACTCGTACAGTATTGCAGGATGCTGGTATCGGCTCCATCCACTGTAACTTAGCGCTTGATGGGAGTGTGGCTTATACCGGTGTAAGCATGATACTCGTAAGCAGGTTAACTTGGTTAGCTTCGCTCTTCCGTGCCGCAGGCTCTATTTAAGCTTATCGTTATCGGGAATTGTCGTCGTGTCGTCGTCGTTGGGGGGGGGGGGGTAATTTAACTCGCTGACCGGAATGTGTGTGATGCTGTATGTACAGTACTGTGCGAGTACAATACTGTGCCAGTACCGTTAGGCTTTTTGAAACGGAAAGGGTGGATGATTTTTTTATTATTTTTCCTTTTGCATTTTTATCCCTGGTTCTTTTCGGTTCTCTGTTAAGGCTATGTTCCGTACTCGTACCGTGCCTGTGATAACAGCATGGTGCCGGCCCGCGGTCCAAAACCTCTCACAAGTCATCCAGATATGATAATCACCCGCGTGAATAGACTAGCGTTAACTCCTCAACACAAGTTCCAATACAAACCTACAATAACCGTACCGTATTGTAAAATCTAAACCAAACCCAGTATGATAAGAAATATCGTAACAATAATGATAATAAAATAATATAAAAAAGGGGACCATCACAAATCTATCATACGGATCCAAAGCCCCCCCCTTCATTACCACCACCACATTTCCAATACCGTACTTGTACTTGTACTGAGCACGGTACGGAACCCTCTCTCCCACATGAATAAAACCGGCACCAACCCCGACCAACAAACCAACAAACCAACAAACACGCATCCGCAGCGGCGGCGGCGGCGGCGGAAAAATCCATTACACTCAAGCATAGCACAGTACAAGCAATTAATTAATCAATCAATCAATGTAAATGTACGAGTACTGTACTGTGCTGCCCCCGCACTTCACACAAAAATGTGTGTGCGTTGTATAATACTATACTATACAGTAGAGTAAGTAAGTAAGTAACACAGCCCGCTGTCGCTTCCGGACTCTTTCCGGCAGGTAGTCTAGGTAAGTTAATGTATCGTAGATGGATGGATAGATACCGGTATCATACTCGTATGATGGATGGATGGATGGATTGCGTAGGGTAGATCTGCAAGGGTTCAAGCGAAGATCTGCCAGGGTGGGGTTAATATCTCGAGTGTGATGTTTTTGTGTTTTGTTTCTTGGGATTTGTGGATTGGTGATCGGGGGTAAACTAAGGTGTGGCGCTGCTGCCCATCGAATGATGGATGAGGTACGGTACCGGTAAAATTACTGTGCGGTGGGGGTGAGGATCGCTTTGTCCCGTATTGGTTGTAGCTTGACATGCGAGGGGTTTGGTATGCCATGTGCTTGTATTTGTTGGGCGATATATTTGTACTGTATTCTTGCAACAAAAGTTAGATAGCTCGTAGGGCACGGCGGAGAAGATATTGGTATGATTATACGGATACGAGTACCATGTCTTATTATTCTTTACACACCCTTTACAATAGCGTAGCTCCGTATATATCCAGTCATCCCCATCAGTTTGGGGGGCAAGAAGACTGCCGCAAGTAAAGCTACGGTACGGTGGAGTACCCATGTTTTACAAAACGAGAGGAAGGGATAAAGGAAAGAGAGAGGAAAGGAAAGCCCAAATACAATCTATGATCCCTATGCTAAAGACAATTAATAAGGTAAAATGAAATAAAATAGAAACGCCAGATGATAGGTCCCCCCCTGTTACAGCGCCATAAGTAAAGAGTATGATAGGAGAAAGGGAAAGAAAGAAAAGAAGAGAAAAGAAATCTCAAGTTCGAGCCCCATACTACTTCTTCTTAAAGACCGCCGTGACGACACTGATATCGTCATACTTGCCCCCCTCCATGCTGAGCCCCTCGTCAATTCCTCGTTCCATATAAGGGCTTTCGCCAAAGGGGTTTATGGCGATTTTCCAGGCCGCATTGACAAGTTTGTCCGCCAATCCTCCCGCCTCCTCTCCTCCTGCGGCAGAGCAGATATCCGCAATCTCTACATCCCAGAGATTATCCGGCAATCCGTCTGTAGCGAGGATGATGATGTCGCCTTCCTCCAGCTCGACCCTATCAACGACAGCGTTGGCAGCGGGGGTGTCGAGGGAGTTAGTGCCGAGCTGGTACGGGCAATCAAACCAGTGCCATTGCTCGGTAGACTTGTAGACGAAGGAATCACTAGACGGCCGATACACGTACGCCCTTGAATCTCCGATGTTTGCTATCGTGAGGATGTTACCTTCCAGGCTGGATACGCAGGCCGTGGTTGTCCCTTGCCAGACCGTCTTTCCCTCGCGGGTGGTGGCGGAAACGGTGCTGTTGTAGCTGTGCTGAAGGGCCGAGACTACGTCTATTTTACCTTCCCCGGCCGCCTCCGGGGATTTACGCTGCGCATCAAGGGCTAATGACCAGTAGTGGAGTATCAGTCTCGACCATAATGCGGCATGGCCGGCGACTTTGGTGTTCCAGGCACCTACCCCGTCGGCTACGCCCAGGTGGTTGTGACGATGGAGGATTGCGTCGTCGCCGTTCGTTATCCCACGGAGGAAGGTTGCGCCTTCGGGAGTTGGGATTCGGGAGGGGTCGTTGGTTGAGAGGGCATCGGAGAGGCTGGATGCCGGCGGGCTGTTGAAGGGTGGGGGGAAGGGTCGAGGTGCCCGCTTGGCGAAGAGGGAGAAGCTGGTTTTGAAGCCGTACTGGATGGGCTTTACCAGTGGTCTTGTGGCCGCCACTGTTGCTGGTACCACTCTCGGCGGCTTCGGGGGGGTGCGGAGGTGGGAGTGGTTGTGTAGGCTTGGTGGGGAGGTGGAGGCGGAGACGGAGGAGGTGATCCCCGTAGTTGTGGGCCTTGGAGATAACGTTGGAGCGGTAGAAGGTGTGCTTGGGTTTGGAATGTCGCGTGTGCTACTCGACGGTGACGATGCGAGTGTTAGGAAGCATCGCTTTGAGATGCTCCTCGGTGGTAAGGGTGCGGCGAGTAACCGGGTTCTGGAGAGTGTCGAGAAGGAGGTAGATGTAACACGCATATCCGCCCTGGTGAATACTCTTCGCCAACGTTGAAATAAAGTTAAAGGAGCGTGATATGAATGCACCGGCGTGACGGTAAGGGTAGAGGTCACTTTTCGTTAGAAAAGTATTGAAATAGGAAAAGGTAGCGAAGAGTGAGGGTGTGGAGGTGAAAGGATCCTAATAAGGGGAGAGGAAGGAGGACTGTTGTGTGGAAAGCACAGCTCTTCGGGGTGCCGCGGGCAGGGCAAAAGGGGGCGGAATGGAAAAAGTAGGAAGAGAAGGGCAGAGAGGAAATTGCTATTTGTTGGGGCACGAGAGCTGGATAGCTGTGGTGTAACGATAACCCTAAACGCGAACAGTCTTCCACTCTAAATTTTACTTTTGCTGAGTCGACTGTCTGGGTCGAGTGTGCTTACTGTAGCCTCAGTGCTTTCTTCTGCTGACACTGGCTGGCCGGCTGGCCTCCGGAACACTGCCCTTGTCCGTGCGAGTATGATAGAACCCAACTTATGCACTCGGGATGCACGACGAGAACTGTGAGATAAGTTAAGAAACCCGCTCAACTTTTATGCAATGATATGCCAGGTTCTTGGTGCCGCCATGGATTCCCGTCCACCTATCCCCCCTGTTCTTATCTGATTTCCGGGAAACAAGGAAATGGAAGCCGCCCTCGACTGAAAATATAGCCTCACACAGCTACTCGTACAAGTACTATGGTTACCTGGACGTTCATTTGACGGTATGGCGCCGCTGGTATTTTCGGGTACGGAGTGACATGGTGCACCTTGTAGCCACGGTATCGTCACCGCCACTCCCCAAATACCTTTACGTTCTCTTGCATTCATGTAGAACGCTCCCCAAGATCGCCCGAATCACCTTCACCAGAGGTGTCGCATCTCATGTCTCTCGATACTACTGCCATTACTGGTATATCTAGTCCAACCGATCCCTCCCCCTCCCAGAAGTCTCAAAGGAGAAAAAAAATGAGAAATTTAAAATTTAAAAGAAACCAGACAGGAACTAAATAATGTACAGAATGCCGAATCCCTAACTAAAGTGGACCTTTGAGGGTTGGGAAAAGACCGAATCTTCCGAGGCTTTTAAGTACCGGCACCGCCGCACAAAGTGGGAGCGCGAAAATATGAATGCGCCAATGCCCACCCCCCATTGTGGTCACTTCCCCATTTCTATTCCACCAACCGGTATATCATAAGACTAAGTGGCATTCTTTCCCTTCCTCTGAGTCGTGGTGCCGGGTCTTGCTGCACCTCTGGACCCCGAGGACTCGACCAACACACCATCCTCATCAGAGTTCTCTCCTAGTAACTCGCGCGAAGCACGTTCTCTCTTCTCATTCCACCATACTCGTTCAGCTGCGGCTTGCTCAGCAACTTCCGCAGCACGCTCTCTAATCTTTGTTGCTTGAACGATCTCATGGGCGCTTTGAAAAATACTAGCAGCCCATTCACTGCCAAATCCGTTAGCCTCCATGGCAACGTCTTTTAGTTCCTGTTGAGCGACAGCTATTAGCTTCTCCCTCGCTTCCCCCTATGCAATATGCCTGTGATAGCAGAAAGACGGACCTCCTCAATTTCGGCTTCGGCAACGGTGAAACGGGTCCACAAATCATCACCGATACTCCCCCGTTGTAACAATTGTTGAAGAGAACCTTTGGCCTGGCGAATGGTGACGATGCGGCGGATATCTTCTGTTGCTCGTCGAACGAGCGCTGCTTTGAGGATGCTGTCTGGGACCTTGGGGTTCTCCTGATGCAAGAGCGTCAAGTATATGTCACGGGAATAGTGCGGACCGAACCAAGGTTCCAAGGAGGCAGCTTTTTCTGGATCGTTGTGAGCCAAAATTCTCCGAGAAGCATCGCCGGGAATCGTAGAACTTACTAGCCTTTCGCTTTCGATACAAAGATGAGAAAACTGCAAGAGTGCCGACGAGCACGACAATGTACACCAAAGGTGCTATTATTGAAAGTTTGACCATGACGTTGGTATGTCGTTTAAGAAAGTTGATATGGTGAAAGGTTGGATTAAAACGGGAGTCAAGTCAAAGAGAAAGAGAGAGACTGGTTTTCCTTGTGAGGGCCTATCTAGTTGGATGCGAATCGTCGAGAGGACCGAGAGTCGAGAAGGAGCGTTGTGGTGGTGGAAGAGAACATTCCCTCATGAACAAAATCGTCCCTGAGATCAGATCTGTCCTCTAAGGAGGCCAAAGCAACTTGCGCCCCCTCACGTGATGAAAGGGAAAAATGGCATTCGTCTTTTAGTAATCACATCTTGGCAATTGTATGACGCTCATAGGCGCCCTAAGGAAGCCGCGAGAAGCAATCAATAGGGAGGGCAACTGGGGAGCCTCTCGTCCATCCCACTCACAAGCTCGCCTCACATCCCCACATCGACATCTTCACCACATCCCCGCAAGCTAACAGCATCTTCCATCCCGTTCATCCTCCATTCCACCTATTTAAGGCCGCAAGCCTAGCCATCATGATTCTGCGTTTTCGCTCGCCCGATGGTACCTACCGTGTAGATATCCAGCCAACAGATGACACATCTCTTCTTATTTCTAAGGTGGGTATATCTGGTTTTCGCTTTGCGAAGAGTGGTGCCTTATCGTTATCAATAGCCCTCTAACTTGACTCTTCTTCCACCAGTTACGGGAGGACCTACCTAAGGATGTTGACCCTCATACGATCATTGTTTCGGACCGTCCAGCAAATGGGAGGGCAAGGGTTCTTAATGAGATAAGCGGGATGAAGATTTCCGACCTGGGTCTCAGGTTGATACTCCCTAAATGGGTTCTGTTATACACATGCTAACCCGTTGTACCATCGTGGATGCTAGCCACGGTGATATGCTGTATCTCTCATACGAGAAGTCGGATGAGCCTCAGGCCCCCAACGGCGCCACCACAAACTCTGATGAGCCATCCGGTGTACGGCTTAACGGACAGCCTGTTGGGCCATCGGAGGGCGTTTCTCGTCTGTACACTTCCACTGCATCTAGCTCGGCGATTCCGGACAAGGCTTCGAATGCTTGGGAAACTGTTACCCAGGACCCTGTTGACGAGGAGCTGGACAAGAAGGATGGAAAGATACCCAGAGGTCGAGATCACAAGATGTGCAGACATGGTCCTAAAGGGATGTGTGACTACTGTATGCCGATGGAACCCTATGACCCGGGCTACCTTGCCGAGAACAAGATCAAACATCTCAGTTATCACTCTTACCTGAGAAAGACAAACACTTCAACGAACAAGCCTGAGCTCAAGTCCTCGTACATGCCTCCCTTGTCGGAACCTTATTTTAGGCTACGAAAGAATTGCCCTTCCGGCCACCAACCGTGGCCTGCCGGCATCTGCTCCAAGTGCCAACCATCTGCAATCACCCTTCAGCCTCAGGAATTCAGGATGGTAGATCATGTCGAATTTAGTGACCCCGCTTTGATCAATACTTTTATCGACTTTTGGAGACGGACTGGCAATCAACGGATAGGGTATCTTTATGGAAGGTTAGCACCTTACCCGGAGGTTCCATTAGGCATAAAAGCTGTTGTCGAGGCGATATATGAACCACCGCAGGTTGGTGAGCCGGATGGTGTTACACTACAGTTACCCTGGGCTGGCGAGGAGGATGTGGCTGAGGTCGCATCTCTATGTGGGCTCCGGAAAATTGGTGTCGTTTTTTCAGATCTTCTTGATGATGGAACCGGGCAGGGGACTGTGGTTTGCAAGAGGCACATTGACTCGTATTATTTGTCATCGCTCGAGATAGCCTTCGCTGCGAGGCTTCAGGCTGAACACCCCCACCCCAGCAAGTGGTCAGAAACTGGACAGTTTGGCTCCAGTTTCGTCACTTGTGTCGTTTCGGGCAACGAGGATAATGGAATTGATGTGGCAGCATACCAGGTTTCGAACACTGCGGTGGAGATGGTCCGAGCGGATATTATCGAACCCTCGGCTGACCCCTCTGTGATGATGGTCCGCGAGGAGGACGGGAAAACAAGATATGTTCCTGAAGTTTTCTTCAGACACATCAATGAGTACGGTCTCAACGTCAAAGAAAATGCCAAACCCAGCTTCCCTGTTGAGTACTTACTTGTCACATTAACACACGGCTTCCCCAATGACACCAAGCCTATATTCATAGCGCCACTAGGAAAGTTCCCCATAGAGAACAGGGAGATTGTCGGCATTTCGCAGGACCACCGGGCTGTGGCGAAACAGTTGGGCATTACCTCCCAGAGCGCAGATGGACCAGCCGACGGGATTGACGTTGTTAGCGACTTCCATCTTCTAACATTTATCAGAGGATGGGGTGTTCTCGAGAAGGTGTGCACGCTTCCCTCTCACGCTGGTTGGGTTCGCAATTAACCGAGTGATTACTCATGACTACACAGGATGAGGAAGAGCTCCTAGCAAAAGTGGCAGTCGGCCACGACGTAAACGATGGCTACAAGCTGTTGCAGACGCCTGGTTGGCAGACGCTGATGACGATTCTAAGGGAGAGCGGTGAGAATGCCCCTTTGAAGCGTGCTTTTGTTGAATATTCTCCACTACCACCACAAATACCTTCACCGTTTGTAAATACGAGGAAGGGGGCAGACGCGGGGGGCAGCGGTAGTAGTAGCAATGGCGGCGCTGCGGGGAGAGGAAGGGGAGGGGATAATGCAACCTCATCTAATAATTATGGACCCTTGGCTAAACGTTTCCGCGGATTCAGTCTGAAGGAAGGGGAATAAGCCCTCCTCGCCATCCGCTCTTGCCTACTCCTCTCTGCCCACACACCCACCTGCCTATTTAAAATTTCACTGAAAACATATACACACTTGAAGGCACCTATTCTTTGCGCGATCGGAACCGATGGAAGTTTTGTAGTAGTTTCTTCTTTCTTGTCATTGGGCTGGGGCCGACGGTTGGGGGTAGGGAACTTGGGGGTTATATTTGGTGGATGAACTGGATATGGGCTTTTTCCTTATTTATTTTCTCCCTTACGGCTGTTTGGCTAGTGAATTCTTGCTGGGATTGGCGGTGTCGGTGTCCAGGCAGCCTAAGCCACGTGGAAACCCGGTATTAAAAGCTGTGTATCGCCACTTTATCATTACTTTTGTGCAAACCCTTTTGATTCTCGGTTTAAATGCGTCATCGTAACCTTCCACCTCACCCCCATGATGACTCGGAAAAACACCGGACAGAGGTAACCTCAGCGACCATACTGCTGCTTCACTTTGATCCCATAAAACACCAATCCGTACGCCGCCATTAAACTGAGCCCCTACCCCGCCCCTATTAGCCCCCGATCAACCAAGAGAGAGAGAGAGAGAGAGAGAGAGAGAGACATACAATCGGCAACCCCTTCCCACTCCGCAAAGCCCTGGGCACACTACTCCCACCAAGCACAAGACTAGCCAACACCGCGGTCTCATTCCCGTAAGCTTGCCCGGCACGAATACGCAGTCCCGCAAACGCGTACAACGCGCCAACGGTCAATCCAGCAGCCACGGAAGGGATAGAACCAGATTTACTGGGGAAGCAAATTTTTTTTATTAGCACCCGACGGCTGGAGAATTTGTGTGTGTAGGGGGGGAGGGGAAAGTACACGTAACCGATAGTACCGCCGACAGCGCAAAAAGATCCGAGCAGAAGGGCCGGAAGGTATGACTACAAGTAAACGGCGGAGATGATTAGCTCTACGGTAGCTACGTTTCGGGGGAAGGGGGGGGTAAGCACCATGATATACTGTACGCTACCAACAACGAAAAGTAGAAGTAAAAGTAGAAGAAAAGGAGTGAGTTGTAGTTGGGGGTTGTTGGGAGGTTATGATAGAGTACTGTACTGTACTGTACTGGTACGGTACTTGTGCCGGGCACTATCGATGCCGGTATGATACTACTGTGCTAGAACAAGTATGGTACAGTAGATACCGTAGATGGGATGGATGGGATGGATGGGATGGGATGGATGGGTAGATGGATTCGATGGAGGTGGAGGTTGGGCGGCTATTTCTCCAGATGGCGGCGGGTACGGTACGATAACTACGGTAGTGGAAGGCGCCGCATCCGGGTGGGGTGATTACTAGTGCGGCCGATACTCGAGTAGATATACAGTAGACTATCTATGTGCCACGTGAGGTATGGTAAGCGGAACGATGCGGTGGCTTTTGCTTATCGTACTTCACGTGGCGGATACGGTGTATCTATCGGCCGCGCTCGTAGTTCCCAGGCACATACGGTACTCGCGTGTTGAGGACATCGGAACCCGCAGAACTTGTCAGTGATGGTTGTTGCGACCATCGCGGGCTGTTGCCCCTACTCTACCGTAGACTCTTTGAACACCGTAAGCAAAAATTTGGTGGGGAAACTAATTCAGTTCAATTCTTCTTTTATAATATATCATAAATCGCAATTGTGTAGGTTACAGTGCAGCATGCCAAAACCACAAAAGTCAAGGTATGATACAAATATTTACACTCCCCATCTCCAAATTTTTTTTTGGATACCCTAAAGGATAGCGGCCTAGGTATGCATGTCACTGCTGTGCTGCCAGGCACTCGACCGTGCTCATACACTCGTCTGTTCACTCTGCTCCCATTCAAACACCTTCTTGAGCGCGATTGAGAACCTACGGATCGCCTCGGTCATGTCCGGTCCCTAATAACCATCAATATTAGCAAAAACACTCCCCCCCGCTATCACGTATATGTAAAAATCCAATGGTCAACAAACCGCCGCAGCCGCAAAAGTGGCCCTGAAAAACAGCCCGGTATGCCTCGCGCCCCTTTCCGCAACGAACCAGCTACCCGGAGACAGGAGGACGCATTCGCTAATGCTAGCCTGGAAGATATCGTCCTCAATATCGACAACCTCCCTTTTCCCAAAATCCGGATGCTTCTCCACTGCAATCTTGATCCAGTGGAACATTCCAGCTGCCGGTGGGGTCCAGCTCGCGAGTTCCTTGGGCAGGTACTTCTCGCAGGCTTGGAGGATAATGTCTCGGCGTTGGGTGTACTCCTTACGAATGAATATTAGCCAGTCGAGATAGCCTGTGTGGCCCCAATGCTCGTCTAACAGGCGGTGGAGGATGACCTGTGAGAAGCCCGAGGGATTCTGCGTTGAGACCTCACAGTTGCGGGTGAAACGCTCGCAGATTTGAGATGTGGCCGTTATCCAACCGATCCTGGCTCCTGGGGATATCACCTTCGAGAAGGAGTCCATGCGGATCACACGGCCGTCTACGTCCATTCTCAGGAGTGAGGGGACAAGTGAATTGAGGAATTCCTCGTGGGTTGCCGGGAGCGGAGCCGGGGGTGCATTGGGGCCCATATAGGGCTGCATCTGTAAGAAATAGTAGGGCTCATCTTCGATGATAAGCAGGTCGTGCTTTTGAGCGACCTTGTAGATTTCCTGGCGGCGCGCTCTGCCTTGGGTTGAGCCCGTGGGATTCTGGCCTGACGGGACGGTGTACAATAGGAATGGCTTTCGCCCACAGCGGGCCTTCTCGTCCCAATTCTCCAGCAGCTGGTCGAGATCCTCCGGGATAAGTCCTTCATCATCAATCTTGACACCGAGAAACTTAACACCCAGCGGTGCAGCGGTCTCAACGGCCGTAGCAAAAGTGTACTCCTCCGAAATCACATAGTCACCACGCTCACAGAACATGCGATACAGCGTGTCCAATCCATTGGTACTCCCCACATCGATAATACATTGCCAGTCCTGATATGGCGGGTTATGGACAATCTACCCGTCCCATCATACTCTATCCGTCAGCCCCACACGACACCACGAAAAGGAACACAAAGAGGGCCCTCACCTCCGTATGCTCCGTAACGAACCTCAACATCTGGGCGGAGCCCGTTCCCTGCCCATAGTTAAGCGCGATCGCAAGATCGAAAGCGGACCTCCCCTCCGGTACATCGTGTTTGCCAATCTTGACATTCTGCCCATTAATCTTGGTCTCCTCTTCCGAGAATTGGCCGACGGTAGGAACTCGAATCTCAATATGTTCGAACGGGAAGTAGTCACTCGATGGAAGACCTCCACCAAGAGATATAAGCCCTATGACCACATTATGACGATGTGAGTCACAGCTGCCATTCTGCCCCGGGGCGGGTGGCCAGGAAGACGGGACGGAGGAGAGGGTGGAATACCTGGCTTCGCGAGATACTTGGCGGCACCTTTCAAGCTAGAAGCTTTACGGGATTTGCTTTCTTTACTCAGACGATCTATTATACCTCCCCCGAGCCCCAATTAGCCTCCTACCCTACCTTCCACCCCCTTACCCCCCAACAAGGACTCACGATCCCACTTCTTTGCCAAAGGCTTGCACAACGACTACCACCGCTCCCCGGTCAGCCTCTTCCCCGAACCCGAGCAAGAGGGACGCACCTTGGATTTAAAAAACTCCGAACTAGTCGCCGCCGCAACCCCTCCATTAAAAGCCCCACTCTTCAACCTCCTGGCCGGGACTCCCGCGCAGGTAAGTGCATTCGGGAGTTCAACAGTGGAGATATTGGTGACGGCGTGAACACCCATATCCTGATAGCTTGGTGGGGGAGGTATCACGTGCTCTCGTATGGCTTGATCGATAGTCACGCTTTTTTTCTTTTTTCTCCTTTCTTTTTCCCTTCCTTTTTGTTCGGCTAGAATGTGATGGTTCTTATCGATAAGACAAGGGTGATACCGTAGTGTAATAAACTGGAACGCAAGGGACAGTTAAAGTGCAAGAGGGTGGCTCTAAGACACTATATAACAATGACAATTGCAATATCGAAGGGTAGGAACAAAGAAAGATGGCAGAGATGGGTAGAAAGTTTGAGCACGGGCAGAAACGGAAACCGACGGATGGACGGGTTGAACGAGAGAAGGGAAGGAAAGGGGAGAAGAGGGAGAAGAAGAGACAGGAAGGGAAAGGGAGAATATTATAGGAAGGTAAGATAACGGGGAGGGAAGTCCGGTACGGTATCTTATTAGCCCCGGCTATCAATTAGCGTATATGGTCTTTACCCACTCACTACATAATGAGTAACCGGCTGCGGGTAGCGGTAGGTCAATTCGGGGAACCACGAGCCAGCTTAATCCATTTCGAGACCCATATCTATCCTCGTGATAAGGCTCCGGGGGCCATTTATAGTAGTAGCGGTGGTGGTGGTGGTGGTGGTGGTGGTTGGCGGTTGGTGGTTGGTGGTATCGGCCAGACGCTGAAAAGAGTAGAGCCGCTTCTATGCGCTTTGCCTTGATTGCACCAGTCCATACCAGTATCGTACAACGCAGTAATGCACGGTACAGTACAGTACGGTACAGTACATGCCCCAATCTCCTCGAGGGCCCCACTCACGCCCCACGCAGAAGTGTGGCAAGCCGTGGTACAGCCTGTATCGGCATGATATCGTACTGTATCATACCGGTACGAAGAGCACGGGTACTATACCGTACTGTGCTACCGTAGTACTGTAGTCTACCAAACTCGATTAGTCAAGCCACAAGAGAGCAGCGAGAGAGAGTGACCCGTCACCGTGACCGAGACAACGAGGGCAAATCGCCTCCTGATTGGCTCACCGTGCACGACGGACAACCTCCTGACATAATGATACTACTATACCGTATCCATTTCCACCTTCCTACCACGCCGTTTGAGCGGTTACGCGTTACCGTGTGCATGCTGTCTGCACCAGTATTTCGCTCTTGGACTGATAGCGCTTCGGAATCGGTTATTCATCGTCCTATGGTGCAAACCCGTCGCTTTTGCCTATTCTAGAGATGCCGGCAGCAGACGGGGCTGGCTAATTTCCGTCAAGAGTCTCCCCCGCTGCGGGGGGTGGCTGTGCGGTGTTTGGGTCGCTTCTTGCTCCGACCATTGAGTCCTTCTGCCGGAGCTTGCGGAGGCTCGGGTGGAATGGGTGCTGCAAGTCCAGCAATGCTGTTAGAGCGGGCAACCCGGATCCGGCATGATCGGCTCGCTCTTGCGACTGGCCGTCTACAACGCAACTACCGATTGGCTACCTTCATGATTACTCTTACACCCCTCTCCCTCCTTTCCCCACAGTGCCCACACCCGCTCTCCCCTCTCTGGGTACCCCCCCGGAACGATCAATACCCTTCGAACGGCCTACTCGCAGAGCAGAGTCATAAGTTTGAAAACAGGAAGGCGCTTCCATCCCATTGATCCGGTGTGCTGCGAATCACTACTATTCCCCTGCTCTACCCGGCTCTCATATCTTAGCTGAATGATTCGGTTGCGTGGCTTTTGCAAATGAATAACGGCGAGTGAGAATACGTGATGGCCAGAATAACGCTGAAGTTCAAATTGGTATCAATATCCTTCCCTCCTCCCACATACAGCACTCCCTCTTGTCACACACACGCCCTCTCTCTCTCCCTTTCCAAAATGTATCTCAGGGAAAGGCGGGGGGAGACAAGCCATAATATAGTATATGGCGTATCCCTCCCCTCCCCAACAAATCCAGGCAAATTTTGATGAAGGGAAAACGGAAAAGAAAGAGGGCAATAGATATCAAGCTTAAATCGAGTAATAAAAGGTAAAAAAGGGGGGGGGGGTAAGAACGGAAAAAAACAGAAACGTGAAACAAGAACGACTCCGTTTGCGTGCAAGAAGCTTCTATCATACACCAAACCAAAACAATAAGCAAAAAAAAAAAAAAAGGCGAACCTCGCCCCCGAGCCAACACTTGATCGACCCGGCCAACACCACCCACCCACATGCACGCTTCCCCGGGCAAAGTATTAAGAAACCAACGAAATAGACAGCGAATGTATGACAGCTTGTAGCCCAACCGATATCCGAACCCATGCTTTTTTTTTGTATGATTTTGACGTTTTCCTGTTTTTTTTGGTTCCCTTCGGATCTCAACTCCTTGTTTACTCTTCTACTTTCTTCCTTTTTCTTTTTCTGATTCCCGGCTCAACAGCAAAGATGAACCCAACTCCCGAGGCAGATCAGGAAAGGAAAGGGGGAGGAGTAACAAGGGGGCCCTCATGGCCAAAGAGTATAACTGACTAACAAATGAGAAAGATGAAATAGTGAAAATGAGACCCCGAAATTATATCCTGTAGGGTAGGAAGCAAAAAGCCCTGCGACAAATGAAAGGTGGGAAGTCTAAAAGGAAATGAGACAATGAGAGGTGTAGCAGGGAAAATTTTATGGAAAACTATAGTGCTGAAACATCATAGGAAAGATGTCAAAAACCAGCACCAGAAGACATCTGCCTTTTTCCCTTTTCCTGGACCATGAATATGCCCGTTGAGAAAAGTTGTATGTGTAGTGCAATGGCCTTCCTAATAAAACTCCTCGCAAACAAACAAAATCACGTTCCCCGAAAAAAAAAAAAAAAAAGAGAGAAGGAGAGAAGGAGAGAAAAAAAAAAAAATATTACAGACCCACCCCAGACATGCCGCCACCACGATCATTTCCCCCATGGTCGTGGTCATGCAGCAACCTCGACCGCCTGTAACAGCGACCCGCTAGTATGGCCCATCCCCGTTCCCGGCGACGTGACCATAAACGTCGTTATACCCAGCCTGGTGTTCTTCCCCTTCTATTGGGGGGGTCGCCGCATTTGGGCCCTCGGGTCTCCGGTAGCCTGGTGGTGGTGGTGCATTCCCGCCACCTCCGTACCCGCCGCCCCCACCCCGCGCCCCCTCTGATTGGTTCCTCTGAGATTGCGACTTCCCATGCCAATCAATTGCCATGTTCAACCTTTTGTTTTCGCCAAAAAATAGTAATAATTGGAGGGGGAGAGATGACAAAGAAAAAATAAAGGAAAGGATCAAACAAAAAACAAATGGGGCATCTGGGAGCCGGGTCAACTTACTTCGCGATATTTGGCTAGATAAATCTTCAAAGCCTCTGCATAGTTTTCGAATCCGAGTGATGTCATGGCGAAGAGTATATCTTCCCCGTTTACCGTCTTCCTTTTCTCCTGTTGGCACTTTTCCGATGCTGCAACACACGTGGCGCGGAAATCAACCGATTCGTCAGTTCAAAAACGTCTTCGATCTTAAGATGTACGTGCAGGGAAGACCATTTCGCGAAGTGTTCCAATAGAACCACTTTATATAGGATGAAGTGGGGGAAACAAGGAATAATAAATAAATGAATAAATTTCCTAGCAACTGGAAAAAGTCTCACCTTCGCTGGTGATGAACGAAATGAACTCGCTGACGCATTCTTGCATACATTCTTTTGCCTCCTTTGCGATTTTGGCGTTTTCCGGTAACGCGGTTTTCATAATTCGAGCGACTAGAGCAAAATTTCGAATATCAGCATCGGCGAGTGCAGAGATTGGTACCGGGCTCGCGCATCTGGACGGGTTCGTGTGATTTTGGGTAGGGGCGCAAATGCAACTGGGCAAGCGATCCTCTTCCATGCCTGCATCCCGACACGAGTCCAATTGTGCCATGGGTAGGGAATAAAGCAGCAAATGGAGAGGTGGAATCGGAAATGAGGGGTGCCTAGTTAAGGTACGGATTGCGGGGGCGGGGAAGGAGGGGGGGTATGTGAAGTGTGGGTGTGCTTGAATGAGCCAAATTGCGTGGGAATGATTCTGTGTGTGTGGAAGGGGTTTTTTTTCCCCCTCCCGCCAGCATAAATGCAAAGCGGGAGGTGTAGGCAAAGGTAGATAGGTGAGGGACTAGACTCACCGTTTGCAATTGGCAGCCATCTGTCCTGTTCTTTGACCTCAAAATCAAACGCAGGCTGTTGTTGAGAAGCTTCCGGCTGATCCATGTGCTCCTGTTCGTCAGGCGACTGCACTCCAACTTCACCCTCCAGGTCTTTCGAGGGGGAAGCCGACATGATATGGGGTACTCTGGAAGGGGGGGCCCGGGATGCCAGCAGTGGGATGTGCTGGATTGCTGTCGACGGACAACCAATCGTGATGACGTGGTCGGTGGTTGCAAGCCTATGCGTCCACTCCCCGGACCAAATCCCTGGGATGAGGAAGAAAATTAGAAGGGGGTGGGAAGGGGGAAGCGGATGAGGTTGAGAAGGGGGGTGGGGCGCGAGGGAAGGGTTGTGCCGTATGGAATGTAACTGGTATTGCAGCACGGTAGGCGGTGGACAGCAGGTAATGGCTAGCGGTGATGGTTATGGTGGTGGACGGAAAGAGGTAGTTGGTTGGCGCACGCCTCCTGCTTTCGACGGCAGTGCTGCTCAGAAAGCTGCTGGTCGTGAGGGTATGTATGGGTAGACGGTTGTTGTTGTGCACCCGGGGCTCGGTATGGGCGAGGGGGGGGTTGTGTTCGAGCTGGGACAACAACAGCATCCACCAGCAGGGAGAGAGGGAAAAACTGGAAGCAACCCCGTTCAATCCAACTCCGCCTGTCCTCCTAATAATAGGGTGGACTGGGACAATAGTGTCACAGTATGCTATGCCTGGTAAATATGCACAATGCCTGCTTTTGCAGATTGGAGGGGGGGTGTTGAGGAGAGGAGTGTGGGAGGAATACGATACGTGAGTTATCCCTCGCTGCTGTAAGAAAGCACGACCAAACGCGACTGAGAGGGATAAAAATGAAAAATGGAATGGAAAAGAAAAAGAAAAAGGAAGCTCTCTCACTTCACCGGAATCTCGGAGGCGTGAACGGGATCAATCGACGCGGAATTTGAGCCCCAGTAAGGTCTGGGGGGAAGATAAAAAGTTTTGATCGGAACAAAGTTTCGTGCCTTTTCCTCACTCTTTCTCCCTCAATGACACCAGTGAATATGCTTTTTCTCGATTCCCAACCGTACGGTGACGGATAATACGAGTATGGCAATTGAGTACCGGCAGCGCGTTCGAAACGATATGCCCACGGGTACATATCACATCAAAGGAGAGGGAGAGGAAGTGAGAGGGAGGAGAAAGATGTGGTACAGCACAGAGAGTTTCTGAGAACAATAACAAAATAGTAATACACAACCAACCTCCCTTTTCCAAAAAAAAAAAGCGCTCCAAGGCCAGAGCCCCTCTTGGCCAGCCCACCAGAGGCCCTGGCATCATCTTCTCCCTCATCATTCGGCGTTGAGAGATTTCGTTCGCCATTTGGATTCTTATCTCCTCTCCAATTGCCTCTTCGCTCTCTTAAAGACCGTTGGCCACACGCCTACGGCTGGGGCAGCAAACTGTGTCACCAATGCCGAATCCGTTTGTCTGAGACCCGTGTGCAACTCGAGAGGAGGTTGCCCACCTCCCAACCCCCGAAAGGAGCACGCCGTGCTGTGCTGATCTCCAGGAAGTAGTTTACGGCGACCGTTCTCATTCGTTGCCAACACAGCGGTGGGCAATAACCTTTTTTTTCTTCTTCTCCTGTCAACCCTTCCCCCTCCGCTCCCACTCGTTTGGCTGATTTTTTTTAAAAAAAATTAATTTGGAAGGTTCGAAAGCTTCCACGCTTATTGTAGTTTGAGCCTCTCCATTAGCCCTCCCATCCCCCTCTTTTCGCTCTTTGGCTGGAAGGGGAGCGAGAGGAGGCGGAAGAGACTGAGTAGAAACCGGGGGGGGCAAGCAACTACACCTCCTCCCCGACCCCCCCCCATCTCTCCTTCACACGCACACACTCACACACGAGCCCTTTTCCCTGATGTTCTCCTCCCTCTTCACTAAACACCAAACTTTCCACCCCTACTTACCTCTGCCTGAGAAAAAAAAAAAAAAAAAAGAAGGCAGAAGTGTTTGACGGCAGTTGTGCGGGCGGTAGAATGGGCGGACGATTGGTATGGGCTGCACAGCATGATGACATGACAGGTGGAGGGCCTTGAGGCTGTGCTTTCTAACTGTATTTCTGATGACAGAATTATAGATCTGCCAAAAACGGAGTCTTGCCAACATCTCGGCGTTGGCACGAATCTTCTCCACGCTGGAACCCTTTCCATGTTACTCCCCTCCTCCTCCTCTTCCTCCTCCCTTCTTCATCCACACCGACCCCCACGCACATACTCTCTCTTGTTTGAGCGGTAGTTGTTTGCGTGGCCAATTGTTCAGATAAAATGGGGGTTTGACCCACGGGGATACGCAACGACAATGCAGCTAGATCAAAATCACCCAACATTTAACGGAAGCGAGGATTAGCATCACCACTACAATCGTTACTATTAACAATTTTAATAACACGGAGCAGTAGTGCAGCTAGTTACCGCTCTCCGACAAGAGTATCGCAACAACCTACAGCTTCAAAATTTCATCCAACCCATAGTGCATCCGGAATACTTTCAACAACAACAAGCAAGCAACCATCCTACATATCGTACAGCAGAGCAACGCTTGCTTGTTCGGATCGGATGACACAAATCTAGTGCAGGGCGCCGGCGGAAACTATGTTGAGCTCTTGACGTTCAGACCTAACTCTCTCTGTCCGTCTTGTCTTGCCTTTCCCTCCCCCTTGCCGTCTGTGTTTCAGCCTTACCTTTCCCTTTAATGACGTACCGTACTCGTACGACATCTTTTTCCTCAACACTCTTCCGAAAATTGGGGTGCGGCGAAAAATGACACCTCAGAGTTCGACTACATATCTCAGAGCTGTTTCAGAAGTATTTGCGTCCACGCATGATTTTTTTTTTTTTCTGCTACGGTACATTGAGTTTAATGTGCGAGTACTGTGGGACTATACCTCGTGCCTCCCACCTAAGGCGTACGAGTACACACACGACACAGCAATCGCGCTATCACGAGCAGTGAGAGCGTTGCCAATTGGAGAGAAAGAAGAGAAAGGCTTTATTGGAATCATGTATCTCAACATGACTTGCAGCAAGGTACCGCCCATCAGGAATGCTCAGCCAATTTCATCAGAGGAAAATTTCCACCCAATTCCTCACCGTCGGGTCGGAAGGAGAATGCCTAGGGGAAAAAAAGCTTTTTTTTTTCATCGATGATCCTTGCAAGCCGCACAAGCGACTCTGGAAAAGTCTTTGACAATAGAATCCTTACAATGGCGATGTGATGGTGTGCTATAGCACAGGGAGGAGGGTATTTTTTTAATCACTTTCTTGGGTTCAGTTTGGGCGGTGTTGCTCCGCTGGCTGTAGCACCAGCGAAAGACATGTCGAAAACTTACAAGGCGAAATCGAAATCGGAAAAGAAAAGAAAAATACTAGTGAATTGCATGACCACAATGCAAGTGTGGTACGGTGAAACTTGAAGGTGGGTTCCTACTCTATTCTCACCACTACTGATAAAAAGTAAGTATTGCAAAAAAGAAAAGACAGTCGGGATTTTCTTCAGAGAAAAATAAAATAAAATAAAATAAAAATATCACCCGAAGCGAAGATCGAGTGAGCGAGACCTGACAACGCATCACATCATCGCGTCACTAAACCACCTAGAAAGAAAAGAATCACAACAAAAGATATCGGAATAGGAATAAAAATAAAAACCGAGCTCGAAAACAAGGCTGCACTATCTGTCTCCAGTTTAGAACCGATAGCATAGGGTAAGTTTACGAGTACAGTAGTTTACAAGCAGCATACCATTCTACTCGAGTGTACCAACCCGACCGAACCGGAACCAGAGATGGAGAGGGGGGAAGAAAATAACCTCCGGCTAATTAATAGGCGATTCATATCAAGCAAAGATGTCATCGGCACTTTCTTCTAATTCCCTTTCCTTCACATTTTCTGCTGTACCTCTCGATGCCGCTTTAATTAGCGGCGACAACTGGAAACGGAGCCATCATACATAACTTGAATCAACCAAGAGAAAGTGTGGCTTGAACTCGCATGCTCTCCCCTCGGAGCATGTAAGAGATTTTAATGGAAACAGCACTTTGTGGCGCATTGTCGCAATATTCTACGATGGCCGTTGCAGGCGAGCAAACCTCTTGAAATCCCAGTTCTCCTATCGGGTCACACATCCTCCACCACAGCCCACGATACATGTAACTACATTTCTAGTGACTTGGGTAAGGTGGTATTTTTCGCTCCATTCTCCCATCCTTCTTTCCTTCACTTCTACCCCTCCCCAAATCTCGTATTTTATTTCATTTTTCCTTCTACATTCCATTATCACACCGGTATCCCAGGCCAACTCAGCGATGAATACTCGAGTACGCTGCTGCCATCACCATACAGAGAGGGAAAAGCAAAAAAGAAAGAAAAGGAAAAAAAAACATTTATCTGAACTTTTGATAGGGTAAGTGGCTGGCTCAGTTTTGTCATGTCATGTACGAGTAGTGTAAAGTACCATATAGTACGGTACTGCACCATACGAACCCCCCCTGCATCTGGTCCAGTCCAGTCTGGTCCGGTCTGGTCCGGTCTAGTCCATTGTACAGTACTCGAGTACCGGTAGTTAGAGTCGGGTAGTGCGGTATGATACCCTACCGGTATTGCGTCAGGTAAAACCGGGGGTTGGTGGTGGTGAGTGTTTGTTTCCTGGGTTTCAAGGGTGCTTGAATGGGTGGATGGGTGGGATGTATCGCCATGGTGTCCAGAGATGTGCTTTTGCTCTGTTCGGTGGCTGGGTGGCTTGGTGGTGACGATTGAGTGTTTGTAGGAAAGGTGCGACTTGTGTGACTTATCTCCGTAGTATATGACATTGTGCTGTGGTTTATTGATGGATTGATTGATTGGTGAATGAGCGGATTGCGGGTCGCGGAAGGGTGGGTCAATATAGTAGATGAGATGGGCTTTAGCTTTGCTGCGGGTACCGTATCGTAAGATCCATCCTGTGATCTTGTATTTGCAATTGACAGCAAATGATTACTACTATTTTGTTTTTCTCCACACCTATGGCAGATAAATGGTGCGGTGTACTGCACTGTATTGTACGGTACGGTACCGTATCGCCATGCCCTCTCCCTCTCCCTCCCTTGCTCTCCCCGAGCAAACATTCGGGCAATTTTGCAAGAAAGCAAAAAGACACAAGAGCCAAATTACAAGCTATATGATACGATATCGGAGAAAAGGAATGAAAAGAGATGATAAAGGGGGAGAAAAGGGAACACCCCTAGGAAATCTATGAAGGTACACCAGGCCTACAAGTCAAACAAAACTACCCTTCCCATTCCACTCACTCTCCTCCCCCTCTCGCAAAAAGAAGTCCATCCCCTCCCACCACCATCACCACCACGAGCCTAACTCACTGATTAACAACCTGCACATTATTCTTAACCTAGGATACCCCACACAAATCAGCCAACTTCAGCCCACCAAACAGACAAACAAACAAACCTTCCACTTCTCCATCTCCTCCTGCTTCTTCTTATACTCTTTCACCAACCCCTCGAGCACATTCTTCAACCCCTCCGCATTGGTCCGCACGGCGGGCACCACATCCCCGACGCGTCGCTCGACGAGAACCCCATTGACGAGGCGAAAGCACTTACGCCCCGGTTCCACCGGTTCGAGGCTCTCGAGCACGAGTTTGTGCTCTTCGGCCTCCTGCTCCACGTCCCCGATCTTCTGGGCGAGTTGTTGGAGGGTGGATTTGTAGGTTGAGTATTGACTCTGGAGTTCTTTTTTTCCTCATCTCTGGTTAGCGGTATGTGGGGGTGAAAGTGAGGGTAGAAAGGGAGGAAGGGAGGGGGGGAAGGAGGGAAGGAAGGAAGCGGACCTTGTTGTCGTTTGGCGGCGGCGGGGGAGGGGGATGCCATTTTTTCTTTTTTCTTTTCTCTTCTCTTCTCTTCTTTTCTTTTTCACCTTTCGCCTGGGGGTTTGGTTTTGATCGTAGAGACGACGACTGGTTTGTGATGGTGGTGGTGGTGTTCTCAGTTGGTGGAGTGGAGTGAAGGAGGAAATGCGACTTTCCCCGCCATTAGCTTGGCGCTAGGGACAGTTGTGGTGGGTTTTGCGTAATTTGTTGCCGTAATTTATGGCGTTGGCTACGTGTTGTGGCGGTCATGTAGTATCACTCGATGCAAGCGTGCACTGTCCACGACGGAATCGGGTGTGGGGTACAGGTGGGTAGGTAGGCAGGCAGGCAAGCAGGAGTGTGTGTGTGGGGGGGAAGCCCTCCGGGTTTTTGGCCGCTCGGGTGGTGATTGGAGGAGGTCTTATCGGTCGGTGGGGTTGGATTCCTGTTTGGCGTTCTCCATTTTCTTCTGACGAGGATTTTGTTTCGGCGCCGGCGGGCGCGTTCTAAAGTTCGCCGAAACGGATAACGCCCGGACGTAACTTTAATGTTTAGGTAATCGTGCTATAACGCTTCGCCCGTATTGCACCTCGCGATAGGAAATACTGGTAATGGCATCATAGGGGTTATGGAAATCTGCGCTGGACATACTTCGAGTGACACCTCATGAGTATTTGTGTTTTCATATCATGATATCATTCCATGCACTACAGGCCTATCATAACAAAATCTACAAAAACAGCCGATATTTGCGTAACAACGTCATACCCGCTGTAAAGAAAATGAAAGAGATTGGAACAGGGGAAATGTAAAAATTAAATGATTAAACTGCCTCTAACGGAATCAATCGAGAGACGCCCCAACTCATCAGAGTGGAAGGAAAGAATCTGCCCATGCAGTAACAAGAAATGAAAAACTAAAGAAAAAGGAGAAAAACAAGCCCACTCATGCATTCTTCCCCGCATCCTCCTTCAACGTAACAATTCTATTAAGCACAAGTCTATCACCGGTAGAATCGCTATCAAGGGCAAAGTACCCAACACGGAGCGCCTGGAACCGACAGGATTCGGGACCAGCCTTGCTGGAATTCTTCTCTCCCTCCAGCTCAGGCCATGGTGCACGGCGATGGACCTCGTGAACTCCTGTTTCAATGATGGCATTATTGCAAACGTGTTCACTGTCAGGATTAATGTCTGCAAGATAGCTGTCCGGATTATCCTCGGGGTTCTCAGACTTGAAGAGCTGATTTGTGAGGCGTGCCTCAACACGAACCGGAGAGCCCTTGCTAGGAGCGTCGCATACCCACTGAATGTATGTCTTTGGCTTCTTGAATTTCCCAGTGTTTTCGTATTGCGCGCGAACCTCGGTCACATTGCCGGCATCGTCCTTGGTGTAAGATGTCGCACGGATGGTGAAGGGAACTTTGAGAAGTCCGACCGATTTTCCCGGCGCAAGACGGAAGTAGTCGGCAGAATCTTCCTCACGGAAATCGGAGCGGTCGATATACACTTTGCGGGTGAAGGGGACCATGTGCTCACCGAGCTTTGTGTCGTTAGGCATGAATGGAACAGCGAACTCCTCAAGATGGTCTTCTGGGAGATTATCAATGATGACAGGGATCGGATCAAGGATCATCATCAGACGAGGAACCGTCTCTTCTAGATAACGACGGACTGTCTGCTCAAATCGCTTGATCTGGACGTAGCTGTGGGCGGTAGTGACACCCAATTCATTGATGAATGCAAGAATTGCTCCAGGTGGGATCCCGCGACGCCTGCCATTAATAGTCAGGCCCGTTTACAGTATGAAGCACAAAGTAAACTCACCTAATGGCAACAAGTGTATATAGCCTGGGATCATCCCATCCACGAACGTAGCCTCCAGAAACTAATTTGGCAATTTTTCTCTTACTCATGATAGTACCAGTCAAATTTAGACGGCCATACTCCCTCTGCTGTGGCCTATAAATTTCCAGAGAATTGCAGAGCCAGTCATAGGATTCTCTCGAGTTGATGAATTCCGTGGTGCAAAGCGAGTGACTAGCGGAAAATATTAGTATGAATGATCACCCGTGAAGATGGCGGTGTTAGCTCACGAGATATTCTCAAAGGAATCACAAAGACAGTGGGTAAAATCATAAGTAGGATATATCTTCCACTCGTCGCCGGTGCGGTGGTGTGGCGCACCGTCCAAGACCCTATACGCTGTCAAATCCCACATCTTTGCAAGTCAGCACCCAAATCCATATGATCAGCGCTAGATATACCTGCGGGTTCCCGGAGCCCAGAATGTCCTGCTTCATTCTTAACATTGCTTCCTTAGGCTTGTATTTCCCGTCCCTCATGTTTCTAAATTCCTGCAAGCTCTCCTCAATCGGTCTGTTCCTATGTTTGCATTCAAATCTCGGCCCACGATTGTCTTTGCCGCCTCTCTGGAGGTTGACTTCTTCAGCAGTGCAATGGCAAATATAGCCCTTGTCGCGCTTGATCAAGTCTTCCGCCAACTCATAGAGTTTCTGAAAGTGATCACTGGCATGAGTAATCTTGTAAGGCAGAAATCCCAACCACTCAACAATCTCACGAATAGCAGTGAAGTAGCGCTCCTCCTCGGCCTCTGGGTTAGTATCATCGTAGCGGAGATAGCACTCCCCTCCATGATACCTCGCAAAACCAAAATTGATAGTGATAGCCTTACTATGGCCAATGTGCAAGTATCCATTTGGCTACTACACTATCAGCATAACCCACGACTGAGCAGCAGCAAGGAGAAACTAGCCTCAGGTGGAAACCTAGTGAAAACTCTACCTCCGGTAGCTTTCAAATGGGCCTCCCTATTTGCCGGAATAATTTGCTCGTTCCCACCAGGCCTATGCAAGCCGGCCAAGAACCCCTCCTCAAACATCCTATTCTTGCTGATATCTTCGTTCTCCGCCTTGACTGGCTTGGTGCCGGTGGCCGCGGGTGTCTTTGACTGCTTCTTGGGTGGTGCATCGCGCTCATCCTTAGGTCCAAGAAGAGTAACAAGTTGAGTGTCGACTTCCTTCTTGAGGTCGGCGGGAGGGGCCCATTTCAGACCTGTAGAAGTTTTCAAGGTTACCAGTGTAGGAGTAAATGCTTTGTACCGCTGTTCAAGAATAGTGTTCTTGTGCTCTTCAATGTAAGCCCTGACTTCCCTCTCGATTTTCTCGGGGGTAAATTCGATCCCTGTTATCTTATCAACATACTCCAACCCCCCATCTGATAGAGGAAAATGGGACGGAAACCCCACCGACACCACACTCCGCATCAAACTCTGTAACATCTACATCCCCCTTCTTCCCCTTGATATACTTGACAGCCGCCTCAATCTGTGCATTGCTCTTCAACCTCCCATCCAGGACCGCATTCACGACAAACGCCCTCTTCCCATCCGCCCCGCCAATATCCTTCGTAGCCGTGACGACAGCAGACAGCAACGCTCCGACCTTTGGGTCCACGCTACCTTCCTCGGGAAGCTCAATGTCGCTCAGGACTTCGGTCCAGGCAGCGGCTATCTTTTTATTTCTCAGTGCTTCTTTCAGTGGTTTTTCGCCGAGACCTAGCTTGGCAAAGTTTTCTGTGAGGAAAACCCCTTCGGGGGTTGGTTCGCCCATGACGTTTTTATTGTTTGTGGTTGCTCGGCGGTCCCGTTGGTTGTTTGTTTGGATGAGGTTTGGTACTGTATCTGGTGTGGACGAGGTGGTGAAGTGGTTGGTTTGATAGGGTTTGGTACGAGTAGGTGGGGTGCCCCGCTGTGGTAGGGTAACGAGGGTTGGTGAGTCAACAGATTTCTGTGGGCTGCAGCTCTGGGAGTATGATAATATTATGCAGATATGGGGAAATACTAACGGTTAGAGTGTAAAGGCACAGTTTCTGAACCTCCCAAATTATCTCCCCCGTTTTCTATAACTAAAACCAAAAGCATTCATCCCCAGAGTGTTGTTGTGCTTGGTCGCTCCTTCTTTACAATGATAATAATATTATGGTAATGATACAACAAAGATAATAGAGTGTTTGTACCCTAACCCTCAAGATTAAAACTATGCCATGATATCTAAGAACTCACGACGTTACATTACGACCTACCATAACATGCAACAACAAGGAGAGAGTCAGAAATTTGCCAGAACTAGGAAAATGAATTGTATGATAGCATATTATATTAGAATACCAACTGACTAGATCTCACTAATCTGTCGAGCTGGATACCATTGACCACTTCTTTGGTGTCTAGTTGGCCCTCAGCTTTACCTGTTTCTGTCATCATGCCTTTCAATGCCTTGTAAAGGATCACCCATCGTACGAGTTATCAGGCTGATATACAAACACGAGAAAATTAAAATTAAAATTAATAAAATAAAATATGCTGAACTTATATAAGCCGACAGTCATCAGCCATAACTAACCTACCAAATGTATTCTGAAAAAAAAAGAGGCCTACAAATATTCTCCTCACCGTTGATGAAAGTACTATCTCAATCAGCTTATTTAATTCCTTAAACCAGTAGGACCTCTCTAGCTAGAGTCACAGATCTTGATATTGCCTCTACAAAAAAAAAGAAAAAAGTACCTAGAATTATAGAATCGAGTGATACCCCATGACAATGACCCGCTATCATACCATGACCCAACCGCATAATATCATTATTATATTATAAGCACGATACCTACCTGAAAGAGATCGAAATCTTGCTGTGAGCCAGAAAGAAAGAAAACCAAAGAAGTAACCGTGCACAACAATGGATAACTCCAAATCTACAGGCTTCTTCCAGCACCAAGACTTGCGTTCAAAATGGGATACCTTGGTATAGAGTGTTCAGAAGAGATGCAGGCTATTATATACCCAACTCCAATTGTAACCTTGACCGAATTTTGATCTCTTGGGGGGTTAGTAGTTACTGGGGGGTTAGTAGTTACAGCCAACGAATTTTTTTCTCAAACTTTATAACACAATGGTACAGTTTTCGGTTGTGAAACAGTATCCAGGTGGGATTTTTAAAGAAGCTCAACTGCATAGTATGACACCTCTTGTGGAATCGGGAACTGTGTGGAAATCCGTATACAGGAGATGACGCCCTTACCGTTTCGACTAGTTAGTTCTACGAGTAGTTTGTACTCTTGCGAATTTATTCTCCGGCGGAATATCCCAGGCGCAAGATCCACTGGCACTGTTTTCTTGCTATAAAATCATACCTACCCGCTCACACTTTTTGATCCCACTTGTATAATACGAGTGCGATAAGGGGTACTGCAGGACTGAAGAAAACTGTGGGACAAAAACGCAATTCACAACCAAAAAAATCAAAAAAAAAAAACATTCCAAATTCAAGGTATTGCGTAGGTAAGATAGCCAGCCCTTAATAATCTCTGGGAATCACGATACCTACAGTACAATACATAATTTCCAGTCAGGGAACCTCTCCTTCGTCGGTATACCAGGCAGAAACCAAAATTCAATACCAAACCTACCCCCATTCAAGGATCTTTTCCCCAGCGGGATGGGGGGAAAAAAAACAAGATTTTGGAGTTTGGAGTTTCATGATTCTATTTGGAAGATATTTGAAAGAATTGGTCACGCAAGAATGACAACCCGAACTCTCCCAAAACAGAGGGAAAGCAGAGAAGCACAAGTACGGCTCCCAAAACTCCCGGTTGATATCAAGATGTGAAAACTCTCGTATATTGATATGTGAAACCGGCCTTGACCCACTTTCTTCACACACTACTCGTATGCGGTTAACGTTGTTTCTTATGGTGACTGCTATGGAGGTTATATCGTACCGCTACAATACCAATATTACACTATTACGATCGCCAACTGTCAAGCCCATTAATGATCCCAATGCCCCCCCTCCCCCTCCCCGCTACCGCAGCCTGCAAGAAAGAAAGAAGCTAAAGGTTGAGAAAACAAAAAAAAGACCACGATATGATACCATGACCTGGACGTCCGGAGCGCAACGTGAGCTGCGACTCTAACTTATTATAAGTGCTTGTATCCTCACATCTTCACAAAAAAAAAAAAATCATATCATACAAGTTGACCGTTTAGCTGTTATACCCCCCCGAAACTACACGCAACAGCAACGGGTTCATATATACAGTATCATACACAAATTCTAAACGGCCCCTTCTTCCAAAGGTATTTTCTCATCATCTCGCTAGTTAACTAGGGATGCAATCATTGGTCCGATGAGAGCATCTATCCATCGCGCGGGTGACGAGAGGTGGGGAGAAGAAAGAGGGATTTCTACGGGTCGGCAGGTTGATACGGACAAGTTTAGAACATCAGTGCGGCCCGCGATTCATGAGTTTATTACTGGACATAACTTAAGGTCCCCCCCATTCTTGATGCGCTATATATCGCGATACTGTACGAGTACAGTGCATATATACCAAACTCCCTCCCCTGGCAATAGCGGGGAAGGGGCATCCAGGGAATATCAAACCATTCCATCTTCACTCACTCGATGTAGACTTCTCCCGCCTCATGGGGAAAAGGAAGGAAGAAAAAAAAAAGAAAAAACTCATCCCTTCCGGCCGGGTGAATCGGATCAAGCAGAACCTTACCTTACCTTACCGAATATCGAAATGCCAAACGCAAAACCCCCCTCTCGGAGACCCGGAAACCAGGTTCACCTGTGAGGAAGAAGAAGAGGAAGAAGAAGAAGGGGAAGGAGATCCTCCTCCTTCATCCCGGACGACTCAGTCAAGTAAGGGATGTACTCGTACTAATACTGGCACAGTGCTCGTGCGGTAGGGTTCTTAAAAATAGTGCTGTACCAGTATACAGGATGGGGAAGGAAGAAAGTTGAATTGCCTAGGGGGTGAAACAGTAATTGAGTGAGTAGTCAGCAATGGGGGAGAGTGAGTTGTGACGAGTTGTCGTGTGGGAAGGGGGAGGGAGGGAATAACAACGTAAGGAAATCGATAGTAAAGTAGGCAGGCGGGGAGGGGCGTTGGCCGGCTCGTTGGCCGGCTCGTCAGAGATCGGGTGATGGGACAGGTATCGTAGCTGGCCTAAGGAACCACGGCCAAGAAGCTTCTATGAGTACGATACGACACGATATTCGCGCAGTGAATTACGGCATTTATTACTCGCCATCATGATCGCCCACCGCCTCATCCCGTGAAGATCGGTCAGGCCGGCCAGCAACTGCAGTGCCCAATGCCAGACGTGAGGATAGAATATTCCGCCCCCATCGCAAACCGTTGCGCAATGCGGCCCCCCTCAGAATCAGGGTTACACTAAGCCGAGTGATACACCATGCGCACTCCAAGGCTCATTTGTGAGTGATGGATGGAGCCTTGCGATAAACCCTTCTCGGAAAAAGAAAGAAGATTTGGAAAAGGAACATCAGTTTCGCTTTGAGGCCATCGCCTCGGAAGGAGGCGATGACGAGAAGAGGGAGGAGGGCAAGCGCGGGGTGCACTTGAAATTCATTGAATCGAGGAGGATGGGATACCGGTACTAGTAGAGTTTCGCCTAGGGCGGTTATGGGTGGTGCGGAAATGGGAGGACACAACAGGTCGGCATGTGGGTGGCAGTACGTGATGTGACAGCGATAAGGAGGTAGCGGTACGGTACTCGAGTAGAAGAGGTAAATTACGTGAAGTGGGGTGCAGAAGAGCGCGCCCTAAGGCAGGTAATGTGTGATGGAGGGTGGGCAGAGGTGTGGGGGGTGGGTCACTGCTCAGGATAGCATTCAAAGTGTGCGATAGTCTTGTGGGTTAGTCATGGCGCGTACACGATCTACGAGTACTGTAATAGTGAACTGGATGGGCGCCACATTTCTCTTGTGGAGTGAGCGGAGGAATTGCTGGACTACGGTGCCGCAGTCAAGCCAGCAGGTTTATAGGTAGTCGGGGAAACATTTTGGTTCGTTTCAAAAGGACACGATGTTGCTGAACCTTACTCTTGCGGACCACAGTCGTGGGAATGTGGGGCCATCATATGGCGGATTTCTCGCTCTGCTGTAGCCAATTTTCCGTATGTTAGAGATGACGAGGAGAGGTTTTCACAGCAATCGCAGTCTAGTAATGAGAAACGCTAGCAGCAATGTACGATAGCATCCAATTGGCCTAACATTCCCAGCTGCCGCGTTGCTTGCCTCCTCACCATTATCCGTTTCATCTTCAGCAGGGCCAGGTGTGGCGCGTTTCAAGTTTATTCCCACGCGCCGACTCGCTGTGGGAAATCGGTACAAGTACTATGATACCGGTAGTACTAGTACTAGTACTTGTACTTGTACAGGCAGCTGGGCTCGGACCGAGTTGCCACAAAGCAGGGTTCTCGATACCGACAATCCAGCTCTGATGCCAGCATTTCCAGGGCAGAGGGAGGCCGCGTAGCCCAGTCTAGCTGAAAGAAGGGAGGAAGGCTATACCCCATGCCAAGGCATTTCCAGATGGGGATTTGGGTGTGGCGGGGAATAGATCAGGGGGTGAGGCTCATGGTACCAATATTGGGGGGGGTTGCGCCACAAGACAACTGTTGGAGCGCTTGAGAAATATTAATAGAGGCTTGTGTTGAGCCACGAAGTAGGATATATCGTCAACAAAGGAGGCGAGCCAGTGGCGAAGGATGGTGCAGCAACACGTCTGCGAAGGGAAAAGTCTAGATGTGGATTGCAGGATGGATTTGGCAGTCAAAACGGGACAACAAAGACCATTGTGCGCGCTGTCGGCGTCATATCGTACATATCGCGCACACAACTTGCCACACAAAGGACAACGGAGGAAGGGAAAAAAGACCAACAAACAAAGGTGTTGTGACTGAGTTGATCAATGGAGAGGGGGAGAAGAGGGCTCGGTTGGGAAAGTCATGGTCACCCCTTGGCCCAGAGTGCCCCTTGTTTCGCCATCGATATTTGCCGGCGCGAACTCTGTGAGCGTGTGGCTTGATTGGGCTTGGGTGAGAAAGTGTGATTTCGCACGGACGAACCAATGAGGGCAGGGATCCACACATCCTCTCGGGACTTGATGTGCACCTGGGACGTTTGTGCCCTCTTTGTCGGTTACGACGAGACACACGGACGGAGGCGGTCAAAGAGAGGCGGGTACTGTGGAAGACACACGGAAATACGGACCATTGGGAATTGCCATGGAGGCCGCTGAATGCTTCTTTCCTTTTTCCCCCCTTCCTTCTCCTTCTCTGCTCCGTAGGGGAGGAGCGGGACTGGGAAGGCCCCCGTTTGTTCCTCCCTTTCTGCTTTTCAGCCATTCAGAGAGTGTTTGTGCCTGGCGCGATTGCACCCTTTCCCCCCCTGTTGGCCAATAGGATTGCTTGGTCCCTCTCGCCTCAGCGCTCTCTCCCCGTCACTGGACCAGCACCAGTACTCGAGTACTCGTACATGTACTGTACCGGTACCGGTACCGGTCCCTTCCCACCCCTCCGCGCTTGTGAAGAAGGCTCCTCTCCCTTCTCTTCGCGCCCGCCTTTTCCTTTTTCCTCCCTTTCACCTTGTCCACTCGTTTCATTGTAGAGTACTGGTACTCGTACTTTACACCTGGTGTGCTTGCTGCCTTTTCGGTATATCTTCCATTCCCTTTGCTGCTTCCCTGACGGGCCGGGTCCTCGATAACACATCTGCTGCCGCGTTGCCTCCCTTCCCACTCACGAGGAGTTGCATTCTCGTCCACTCGTTGCCGTGTCTGCATCTTTCTGCGATTTCACCTGTCCTCCTATCACCAGGTGCCCGTCCGCTCATTTGAACAACATAATCTCAATTTCCCCACTGTAATAACCCGCTCTGGTGTTGCACGCCATACATTTTCGTCCATCGACAGATAATACGTTGCCAGTCAACGACCCGTCCGATCCATCACTCGCACACTCACTCCCTTCAATCGCCGAGGGGACAGGGAGGGAAAGAGAATACAGGAAAATCTTCATCGACAGGAACAAGTGAACAGTTTCCCTGGAAAGGAGAATACTCCGATTTACTTGTCCTTGGGGAAAGGGATACGGTAAGGGAGAAGGATCACGTTTGCTGTCCCACCCTTGTTAGCCGGAGTAGACGAAGGAGGGTCACTCAAGTGCATATATTATCACCCACATCAAACCTCGTCAGGGTTAAGGGGAGAGAAGAAAACCGACTGCTCGAGTGCGGGAAACTGCCTACACCACGCACCCACCCATCGTCAGCAGACAAGCCCCGCACGCTTTCTTTTTCTTCTTCCTCTGGCTACTTCACGCTCTTTTCACCTTTCCCCCCCCCTCCTCGCTGGGTCGCTCTTTTGCCAGCCTGGGTCACTCCTACACCATCTTTTAGCACCACCCAAGAGGCTAGAAAAGTTACCTGTCCCTTATTTCCTCCTCATTTCCCCCGCATTAATCAAGCAGACGGGATTATCCACCCTTCTTATCCTTCTTTATATAAAAAAAGTCATCACCCATTTTCAAGACAAAAAAAACCGTTTGTATCTCTACCCGGGACATATCCAGACGACAACGACCAGACAAGATGGCAATCGGCAGGGCCCTCACCAAGAAGCCGTCGAAATACAGCTTCTCGACGTCGCCGACGGAAGCGCAATCAAAGCGCGGCTCAATTTCAAAGATTCAGATCTCGGCGCCTGTAGAACTAATCAGCACGACAAACATGATCAGCTATACCTCTCCATCGCTGCGCTCATCGATATCGCACCCATCACCACCGACATCGAGCACAAGCACAAGCCCGACGTCATCCAGATTCCCCCCATCCTCACCATCCTCCTCATCGGCGAGTTCAAACTCGGGTTCGGACTCGGAAATCTCCTCTCCGGACGAGCCCTCCCCACTGCCGAATCACCTTTCAATGTACTTTGCCCCAGCCATTCCCGCCAGAAGCAAATCTCGCCGTACAGCTCCTCCTCCACCTCCCCCGGCTCACCCAGCACCCGCACCGGTCGCAGGGTTGAGCCTGACCCGCACCCGCAGCCAGCAGAAGATGCACTCCAGAGGCGTCCGCGCTTCGAACCCGTTTGGCGTGGAATTGGCCAAGGTTGCAGAGATGGCAGAAGACATTGGTGTGCAGGTTCTAGATGCGGATGAGGAGTTCATGGTGGAGCATGGGTTGCAGAAGTTTTCAGCCGATGATTACGCGGCCGAGATTGATGGGGTGTTTGACGATATGTTCCCGAACCTGGGAGCTGGATGGATTTAGGATTGTTCTCTCTCTCTCTCTCTCTCTTCTTTTTTGTCTTGGTGTCTGGTGAATGGGATTGTTGGAGAAGGGGAAAAGAGTAGATTGATGTGCCAAATTTGTGGTTTTTTTTCCGGGGCAAGTACACTCAAACTCATCACAGACTGGGAAAGGAAGAGTCTGCTCGTGTATTGTCTAACATCTCCAGTTTTGACCTTTTTTCCCTTTTTTTGACTTAATGTTTTCACTTTAACTCTTTTTTTTGGCTGTTTGCGCTTGAAGCATGATGCCTGTCTACAGTACCGTACCCATCGCAGCTAGTCTGCCCCATTCTCCTATATCCTGTCTGTCTGTCTCGTGCAACTTTTTCGTCTTTTCCTCGCTCATCTCATGATACCACTCACTCCTACACAATCCTTTTTGTCTATTATTATTATTTTCCTCTTCCTTTCCTTGGGAGTACGGTTCACGGCGCGATATGTAAAAGCCTTTTTTTCTTCCCTGTCTTTATTTATTTCCAGTATTTACTTATTTTTTTATACTTATTCTTTACATTTTTTATCCCCTCGCAGAATTATGTACTTGTATATAGAACGTTGTTGACTTTGGCGGTGTTTGGCTCTTAATAAAGGGTGTGGAATTTTTGAAATTTTTTTCTATCGGCTCACGTCATTGCCCGATTCGCTCAAGTTTGCTCCGTCTGTTGGAATGGTCTTGATTTGACCTGTCTCTCTTGACACGGGGTACGGTCCGCAATTCAGTCCAGTCCAAGGAACGAGTTGAGCTGTGAGTGAAGAAAAAAAAAAAAAAAAAAGTGAAAAGGAAGGTTAGCTAGTGCGTACGTGTCAGCACTAGACTAACTCGATTTTATTCCTTTCATTCATTCATCCATTCTTCGCGGGATAGTCTACGGTAGTCCGCCTTAGGTGCAGTACCGTACAATACTGCTCCGTATCATATCATCATCACATCATACGGTACAGCAGCATGCCATTGTCTCACTCTGTACAGTACTGCACCCGTACACTAAGAACCGCACCACAAAAACAAAAGTGCAACCCTTCACATTCTTCCATTCCGTCTCGACCGTTTGGCACTTTGTCCCGTCTTGTCTCTGCATTATCGTTGGTGGTCTACACTGCACTCTACCCCGTCACCAATTCAATTCAGTACACTGTACCGCACCTTCAGCGACGGACGTGTGCAACCCTCCCGGGCATTGGCGAAAGAAAAAGAAAAAAAAGAAAAAAAAAACAACCAAAAACTAGAAGGTTATTATATTGTGGGAGAGAATCGTGATGGTAAGATTGTGCGAGGGTGATCGGGAGGGTGATTGTGGATTTGTTCTGGAAGGGAAAGAAGGGAAAGAAGGGAGGGGTTGGATGAGGTGAGGTGAGGGAATATGATATCGAGCTTTAGTCTACGCTTCTGATATCATAACGTGCAACATGCCGAACAATAGTCGGCTACTTTAAGTCTGTCAGTGGATTGGATTTGGATAAGATTTGGTAGGTTGGGAAGCCGGGGTTTGTTGATTGGTACTGTACAGTAAGTTACCGTACCGTACTCAGCCACCACAAGCACGATACAAGTTTATCGGATACTGTGAGTCTACCGTGAGCTCGGTGCCTGGTAAACTGTACTCGAGTGCAGTGCAGTACGTCTGCACGGAACAAGTATGATGATATGATACCTTTTCCTTTTTTTTATTTGTTGTCCTGCCTGATTAGGGGGCTTTGGTACCGTATCGTATCACTCGGGCGCTCGTGTGCTTACCGGTGGAAATCTGCCGAGCCCCAGCAGGACCGGGGTTTCTCGGGGATTTCCTTTTCTCGATTGATTATAACCGCGTTCCTGGGAATATACTGTACCGTAACTGTATGGCGCTATACAGTACTGGTGAAAACTCCCTGCTCGCTCTTCTCTCCTATCCTCCCCCGGGGGTTTTTTTCCCTCTTCTTCTTAATACCCCTTCCTTCTTTTTGGATGGTTAGGTAGAAGAGAAAAGGGAAGGGCGGTGGGGTATTGTAACTACCTACCTACCTACCAGCCTACAGTCTAACATTCTAGGAATTGGTAAAAAAAAATAAAAAATAAAAAATAAAAATCCAAGTTGTGTAATATCCATGTGGATTATACTCGTATGGTACGGTACGGTCGGGCTTATTATCATTCCCACCCGGTCCCACCTTTTTTTTTTTTTTTTTTGCGGTCCCGTTGGGAGTGGATTTTCCCCAGCCGAGGCTTTCTTCCTTCCTCCCCTCCGACCTCGGCGCTATCGGCGGGTTTTATGGGGGTGGGGCTGAAGAGCGGGAAAAAAAAAAAAAAAGCCTGGGTGGTGGGGGAGTTCTGTTCTGTTCTGTTTTGTTTTGTTTTGTTTTGTTTGCTGATGTGGGATGATGGGATGATGTGTTGAGACGATTGAGGGTGGGGAGGTATCATAGTGTCATAAGTTACTACTACAGTATCTATCTATCCTATGACGGTTCGTGCGAGTCACTTGAATGTCCGTAATATTTGTTTCCTACTCTACTCCGCCCCATAGCTTACAAACGGTTTCGCTATCGGAAGTAGAATCGGATATAATGTAATGGTCGCAGACGTACCGTACCATTGAACTTTATTTCGCTCAAGACTCACGCACTGCAACCGTCGCCTGCCAGTCCTCGCCTTTCCCTTCCCCGTCATCGCGGTGATGTATCGAAGGGAGACTGTGCGATACCGATGGTTAGCTAACGCGCGGTTTGTGGGGTAGGCACTTTATTGGGTCGGGGATCTGAATCGGGATCGGTACCGGTACCGGATTGTTGGGGTGTGTGTGTAAGTGTCGGTGTTAGTTGGTGGTGGGGAGGGAGGTGTGTGTGAGCTTGCTACAATACTATATCATAGCTAGCTAAGCTGTCTGTCTAGCTTAAAAGGATGGTCGAATATACACGCGGGCGGAGTAGCGGTACCGGTTTTGTGCGCGGTGCGTGAGTTTTGGCTTGCGGGTTGGGCGGGGAAGGTGTCGTATGATGGGACTGCTGGGTACCATAGGTGCCGGACTGGACTCGGGGTGTGGTTTCGTGTGGTGTTGGTTTTGCTTGAACAGCACTGTACAGCACTATCTTGGTATGGTATTGGAATATAACGCAAAGGCGGATTATGAATTGATGGTACGGAACAGGCGGCTGGCGGCAGTCGTCCTCCTCCTTTGTCAAGGAAATTTTTCAACCTAACTAGTGCCCTGTACTATAGCACAGCTAGGTATGAGAAAGGTGAAAAAGAAATATTAATAACCATCAACAGTCAACCATGGTCATGATATATTTGGCTCTTCAACTCCCACTTCGTGGTGCGTTACCCCTCCTCAGTCTTGTACAAAATTTACAGCACCGTACACATCTCACGAGAGAACACCGTACGATACCATCGCTAACCTACCATACCGATATCTAACCTCTAAATCCCTGCGGCGTACCATGACTTGATGATATGCCCTTCCAATACGAAGCCTTTTTTGGTATCGTATCAATAGCGGTACGGTACTGATTTTGACTCCTCAGCGCTAACACCATACCATACCAAATCCCCTAAAACTAGTGGCGCTCTTGAACCAACGGATACTTCGACTAACTTTCCACTCACTGGCTTTTGATCATAAGCACTGAATCTAGATTGCATCACAAGGACTCACTCGCACAACCCTCCCTCCCTCC